TTTAAAAGGACTACAACTACTTTTGAACAGTACATTTTGCTCAGACTTTCAATATCAATTTCCACAAGAAATGTCATGGCTTTATAAATCAAGTAATAGATTTTAAAAAGCCAGACTCCTAGTCCACCATGAAGGTCAAGTTAATTACATAAAAATAATTTGAAGATCTATATAACAGGCTTACTCAATAGGAACTTTGTATTATCACCTTTAATGATCTGAACATTATCATAGAAACTTCTCATCAGATCTTGAGAATAGCAATTATTAGCTGGGTACATGCAAGATGTTTAAGGTGGTTAATAATTAAATCAGTTGGGTTCACACAATAGATTTACTCCACCATCACACCCTGCCTCTTTAGAAGGTTGTACAAGTAGTCCTCGACTTACAATAGTTCATTTAGTGATCGTTTGGAGTTAAAAACAGCACTGGGGAAAAAAAGGTGACTTATTTCACATTTATGACCGTGGCAGCATCGCCATAGTCACATGATCAAAATTCAGATGCTGACAAGCAGTCAATGGGGAAGCCAGATTCACTTAACAACTAACTTAACTGCAGTGATTTCACTTAACAACTGTGGCAAGAAAAACGTAAAGTGGGGCAAAACTCACTTAACAACTGTCTCACTCAACAACCCAATATTTTGGGTTCAATTGTGGTTGTAAGTCAAGGATTACTTATATAAATGCAGCCGAAGGTTTTGACACGGACCTGGTTAAGGGCATTTGTCACTATGAATGGTAAGATTCTTATATCTATCCTATTCTGCTTGAGATCATAAGCAGGTTCTCTCACCTATTGTATACGTACTGAAATCAGTTTGCAAGAAGTGTTTAAGGTAGTATGTCAGAAAGGAAGATTTTGACCTTGCTTTTTCTCAAGATACCAGTTAGAACAGTTATAAGGACCTGGACTTTTCCTGTATCACTTTCTCTACTATAATCTATCTAGCATTTTTTTTCTACATGGATTTTGCACTTCAACTAACCCTTTATCACCAAAATTGCTCTTTTCATGCTTATCATCTTTGGACAACCTTACCATAAAGAGAGTTCTTATAATTTAAAAATAAAATCCCAATAAAAGGTGAGTGAAAAGTAGAAGCTATTTGTTGAGCTGGACTACAAAATATATATAATAAAATATTTCTGCTTAAAGAAAAGCAGAAAAGTTAGCCTTAAATAACAAGTGTCTATTTCTTTCTCCTTAAAAATGAAGCTATGTTCAGTGGCTGCATACAATTATACAGGACAACAGACGTAACTTGGGGACTTTCATCAGATTTGATTCAGTGTAACTGGAAGCAGGGATTGATTTCAGTTTGGCTAACACCTGTCAAATAAGACATGAATGGAGAACATGGAATCTTCCAGATTTTGCTGAAGTACAACTCGCAACAGCCCCGGGTCGAGTGGCCAATGGAGGAGGAGGTTTTAGTTCAGCAACATTTAGGAACCTACAACCTGTTCAAGTCAAGCAAGAAGACAGAAGCTTTCTGATACAGAGTAATCATTTTATTTCATTATTGCACATATACTGGATTAACTTCCCAACATGATCCAGTCCTGCCATGTGGACAAATTAATAAATTGCACATCAGAGAGAGGAGGAAGAAAATAAAATGCTTACAAGCATACAGAAACACCTTCCTGAAAGAAACAGGAAAAACAGTCTTGCCTGATCTCTAAGTGCAAGTGCTCTGTTCAGATCCATGCTTTTAAGAGGTTAAGGATGTCATTATGGGTCCCATTCTCTAAAGCAGGGGTCTCCAACCTTGGCAACTTTAAGACCTGTGGACTTCAACTCCCAGAATTCCTCAGCCAGTAAAGCAAAGCTGGCTGAGGAATTCTGGGGAGTTGAAGTCCACAGGTCTTAAAGTTGCCAAGGTTGGAGACCCCTGCTCTCAAGCAATACTGTTATTCCATACCAGTGATGTTCAATCTGGCACCCTCTGGATGTGTTCACACTGCGTTCCCTCCCCAATCATCTATTGATTTCATTTTTGTTGGGGAAGGCTGTTCAATGTTACAGAAACCGCCTGATATATATATATATATATATATGCATATTCTTTCTAGCCAGGTTTTACCTACGTAAACTTAGTTGTTCTACAGCCCTAGGTTCTGTGAAATCTCATTCACAAGTTTCTGGGCCTTTTTTCTGCTGACAAACTGCAACTCTGTGTTGCTCTCTGGGAGACTCAGATAGCTATTTCTGCCTCTTAAGGCGTCTTCGGTGAGCCACACCCACTTATCCTTCCTGTAAAGGTACAATGTATCTTTATATATATATATATATATATATATATAGATATATATATATATATATATATATATATATATATATATATATATGTATATATATATATAAATATTACTGTATTTTTCAGAGTATAAGACACACTTTTCCCCCTCCTAAAAGAGGCTGAAAATTTGGGTGCGTCTTATACTCCGAATGTAACCCCGCGTGGTGCCCAAAATGGCTACCGAAATAGCTGCTGCCTTCTCTTAGCTCTTCCACACTTTGTCTGCTTTAGTCACTGGAGCTCCTTCCGAAGATCAGCTGTGCTTTTAAAGCTGTTTTTGAGCCCCAACGTGAGCGAAGCAATCTTCCGTGCTTTGCCTGCTTTTCTAATTGCTGCTCCCTCCAACAATCAGCTGTGCTTTAGAAGCACAGCCCCAACCTCAAAATCAGAGAGCGAACTAATGTGCTGGGACTAGCCAGATGAATACCTGGTAGGCAGAACCCCCCCCCATTTTCCTCCCCAAAAACTAATGTGCGTCTTATATTCCAGTGCGTCTTATATTCCAGTGCGTCTTATACTCCGAAAAATATGGTAATTGCAAGGGGTGATTGGGAAGGAGATTTTAAACAGAGATTAGGACTGCCATGTTATTTAAATAATTACATTTAAAAAAGTAGGAACGGGTGATACCGAGCAGGTAATCTAACCTTGGCCTTTTATTTGTGTTCATTTGTCTCTTTATAGCTCTCTGCTTAATATGAGCTGCTGTGATTTTGGTCAAGATAAACAAAGCACACACCAAGTCAATTGTCTGTGGGAGGAATACTAGGTACAGCAACAGCCTAATGTTGCTAAGAAGTCTGAAGACCAGCTGACAGCATCCTGTACAGATCCAAGGACATTCACACATACTGCACAGGCTCTCCTAATAAATGGATTTCAACGGAAAAAATCAACTGCCATTTAAAAAAATAAGGCAGCACTTCACTTTCACACGTTAACTAATGTGAAAAAAGGAAGAATGATCTAGTGCAGGGATCTCCAAACTTGGCAACTTTAAGAGATTTGTGGATTTCCAACTCCCAGAATTCCCCAGCCAGCATGTTGAAATCCACAAGTCTTGAAGTTGTCAAGTTTGGAGACCCTCTGATCTAGCATATTGACAGAATATTCATGAACTGGAATAGGGCATGGTAAAAAGATCAGCCAATGAATAGGCAAGGCAACAGATCAGCCAATGGGGACTGTTTGGAAACAGACACTTAAGCACACTGTGCTGAGATCTGAGTCTGTGCAGAAGCTAAACTAGTCTTCTGAAATGAAACTGAAAACTCTTCTCTCCTCTGCCTGTGTTTTTTGCCTGTAACTACTACCACGTTGGAAGAATCTGCTGTTGGTATTGTATGTGTTATTTTATACATAAAGAGAAGTTAATGAATCCTGCTGAATCAGTTATCTGTGTGTGCTTTCTGGATGTGATTTCTGCAACAAACTCTTGACACATATTTATTCTGCTGAATGAATTTATGATTACTGCATGTCCAACTATGGGATGGTCAATATTACCTTAATTTTAGCAGCTTGTAAGTAAGCATATAGTTCCAGAAGCACGTAAGAACAACGTACAGGGGTAATTTTTCATTAAGTGGCAAACTGATGAAGAATCCTTTGCTTTCATGAAACGTAGCTAAAAACCTATAGAATGCATTGCAAAGATTATGCAATTTGTGAACCACAGAGAAAGTTGACATTTCTCACTTCAGAAATGACAGATTTTACTGGAATCATTGGAAATGATTCTGTAACGGAAGCCAAATGGCCATCAACAATCTTGCAACACCTCCCAGAAAATGCCCTACAGAGCAGCTCAACAAAACTGTGGAAAAGTGTTTTTCTCCAAGCTAGAGATGACCAATAAGTGATCATACGATAAACTCAAATATGGGAAAGCAGAACTACAGAGCAGATTTTTAAAATACTCTCTGTTCCCCAAAGTTTAAAAAAAAAAAAACCTAGCTCAGCAGGATCTGATCTCTTTCAAAATACATTTATTAATCCTGCCATTCCTCACAGTATTTTTACCTGCTGGGTTTCCAAACATTTACCAGCCCCTTTTCCAAGCAATTGCCAAAGGCAAAGAAATGTTGGGAATGGTATCTGATCTGTCTTCCAGATGCATGGACTTTTTCTGGAATTCCACAGCCAGCTGGGAATTTGGGGAATTATAATTCATCCATCTGTTGGGAGTCTAGGTTGGGGAAGGCTATTCTTTAGGTTGTGCTACAGTATATTTTAAATATTCTCCATGCAAGAAATCTATGTATCTTGGGAAAAAGTAGCTACCTCTAATTGTTTGATAACACTAATTACATGTATTACTAAATCATTCTGATAGATGCTAAGTCAATATTTACTCATCACTAATAATAAGCAATTAAGCTGGCAAGAATGGAACTAGTTCACAACTGAATCATTGGCTCAGTTAAGAATTTTTAGAAATCTTTCTCCCGTAGCTTGATTAATACTTTCATGACATTGCAATATGACCAAGAGGAAAACAAAAAATTTACTTTTAAAAATTTAAATATACTGGAAAGTAGGTTTTAAAAAAAAAAAAAATACTCACCATAGGATCACAGTAAATTAAGAACTGCAGGCAAAATAGCAATAAAGATCCAGAGAAAGGCTCAAAAATGTAATCTTCCCAATAACTTAAATGTTAATCAAATCACTTATAAACAAAAATTACCTGGACTTTTTCTGTACTTGTGGGCTGCAGGTGTCTGTACAACACTTTTTTCACAACGTCAAGGAATAAACAAGTGACAACTATGATGATTATGGCAAACCAAGCAGAGCCGCTGGACAGCAACTGAACAAATACAAAGTACATGTCTTGGGTGTGCAAAAATGGCCTGGAAGAAGAAAGGACACAAAAAATGGAAATTAAGAAGCAGCAAAGGAAAACATTTAGAATTAGATGACATTCTTAAGAACAGTAGGGAGTCTTCAATTTACAACCATTCATTTAGTGACTGTTATAACGGCACTTTACAAAGTGACTTATGACTGTTTTTCACACTTACGACCAATGCAGCATCCCCATGGTCATGTGATCAAAATTCAGCCTCTTGGCAACTGGTTCATATTTATGACGGTTGCAATGTCCCGGGGTCACATGATCATCTTTTGTGACCTTCTAGCAAGCAAAGTCAATGGGGAAACTAGATTCATTTTACTGCTATGTTACTGACTTAACAGCAGCAATGGTTCACTTAACAACTGTGGCAAGAAAGGTCGTAAAATGGGGCAAAACTCACTTAACGACTGTCTCGCTTACCAATGGACCACAGCTTAACTGTGGTCGTTAAGTCGAGGACTACTTGTATCTCCAAAAATATAAAAATACAGAAAGCCACGTTCCTAGTATCCAGCAGCCTCATGGCTTTGGGGCTAGAAAATGTCACTTCTAACATTGATCTCAAAGTCTGGGCAGGTTCACAGCAGCAAATACTCAACTTTGGCTGGTCATGTGAAATTATGCAGAGACAGACTCCTTAGAACAGGGGTGTCAAATTCAAGGTCTGTGGGCCAGATTTGGCCCGCAGAGTGCTTAGATCTGGCCCGCAGGGCTGCCCTGGAAACAGTGAAGGACCGGCCCACGGTGCCTCGGCCAGCAAAAACAGAGCTCGCAAAGGCTGCGCACAGCTCTCCCAAACTCCGTTTTCACTGGCAGAGGGGTGCAGGAGACTGTCCGAGCTGAAAACAGAGATCTGGAGCCCGTTTTCGCTAGCAGAGCACTCGGGCCCCCACAGGTACCCCTGACAAGAATGACGTTGAGCTGGCCACTCCGGTTCCCAAGGTCAAACACAACCCTGATGCAGCCCTCAATGAAATCGAGTTTGACACCCCTGCCTTAGAATATTGAAGGGAGATAATGAAGGAACTTAAGATATGGATAGTGATTATAATAAAAATCAGCAGTCAGCCTCTCTGATGAAGGCAGTGGCATATGACTTTTTGAACTCAAGAGACATAAATTTGCAATCCTAAGTAATCAGTCAATGAATGTAGCTCCAATCCTTTTGAAGTTTAAAAGGCTGACTGTGATTTAGAAATGAATGAGACAAAATTTTTGAGCTGAGGATCTAAAGGAAGAAAAGTACATTCCAGATACATTCTTATTTTTAATACTGTCCCCTAAAAAATCGATAATTGTATTTTGCATTTTGAAAGGCTATGTCAACGTGCACAGTTAAGCCCTAAAATTCTGGAGGTATCAGCTTTTTATCCATTTCTCTAAAAATTAATGTGGCAGATGTTTTGGCTTTCATAAATTTGAAAAATGGAAAATTAAAACAATTAATTATTTATTTGTTCCTTAGATATATTTCCTGCCTTTCCTCCAAAAAGAGAATACATGTAAATCAGGGTTGAGTTCTGGGGTATTTGGTATATTCTGACTTGGTTGTTTGCTTGTAGATGTTTTATTACTCAACTAGGTAACATCATCAGTGGTAGTGAGTGTGGGGTTTATTTCCCTCTTTATAAACAGTAGCTTGCCTGTGTAAAAACTAGCACTGATTGGTGTGATAATCCATCTCAGATACTATGTCAAATTTTAGTTTCAAAGTAAATTTTTTTTAAAAAAAAATCAGGTTTGGACAACAAAGAAGGGCCATTATAGAACAATGAAGCCCTCCTAACTGGATAATGGACAGATGGATAATATGACAGCATTTCTATTTTTAATTAATCTTTTCATCTTCTGTGCCAGATTGTTGGTTTAGCTGCTCAGAGAAATGCAGCAATACAAATTCTATTTGTGTATATATATATGTATGCACTGTGTGTACACACAAACACATGCACCAATGGTCACAGCCTGCTTACAGATCCAAACATGGCTTTGTTGATGGCAAGAATTTAAGGCAGCAATATTTTATTACTCTTCTGTTTGCATAGAATTAACTACTTACCAGATTATTCCGCCATAGAATAAGGAAAAGATGAAGTAAAACCCAATGGACCCCCAAGTAACAAAATGATTTATCCAAGTCCAAAAGTGTGTCTCTATTGCCATCTAAGCACACAAAAAGAAAATAAAGAAAAAAGAAAGAAAAAGAAAAAAGAAAATTGTATCTCTTAATAAACAGGTAATTTACAAAGTTAAAGCCTGTGAAAACATTGCATGTTTTTGTGTGTGTGTGTGTGTGTGTGTGTGTGTACCTTTAAGTCAGTGTTGACTGCTGGGAACTGTCTGGACAAGTCTCACAGTTTTCTGGGTAAGATTTCAGCAGTGGTTTGCCACTGACTGCTTCCCAGGGCTAAGAAAGAAGGACTGCCCCAAGATTAGAATAGAATAGAACAGAATTTTTATTGGCCAAGTGTGACTGGACACACAAGGAATTTGAAGCAAGAAGGAACATAGCACATCTCTAGTGATTTATTGAAGATTCGGGTGAAGATGGGAGCCAATTGGTCAGCACAGACTTTTAAGCAAGAAGGAGTTATCTTGTCTGGGCCTGGAGTTTTTCCTGGCTTTTGTCTGTGAAATAGGTCTTGCCCTTACACAGCAGGCTTGGTGCCTAAGGTGACTAAAACTCATAGTCTCCTGGTTTCCAGCCTGATGTCTTAACTGCTGCACCAAATTGGCTGTCATATGTTTTACTGGGAACTGGTATTCTAAATCCAAGGTGTGCACAATCTTGGTTCTGAAACCCCTAACATAACATTGGTTCTGCATGTGAATAGTTCCTTTCTCTGTAGTTGACTTTTACACCGGTCAACTGATAAAAGGCCAGTTCTTGATCAAACAATCATGGTAGAATACAGCTGATTCTATCCTTGGGAAGGACTCAGTAGGTTGATAAAAAATGCAAAATTCAGTTTAAACATCTGGCTGGTTTTATTCATTTATTTATTTGATTTCTATAACTGCCCACTTCAGCAAATTACTCTGGATGGCTCACAATTCAAAACATATATTACAATTAAAACATTTGAAGCAACAAAAACAGCAAAAAGCATTAAAACAATAAAAACATTGTTGATTGTGTGATCAACAACAATAATAAGGCATCTGTTCAGATATCAAAGAATTCTCCTTGCACTAACTTTTGGACTTTCTTGAGCCTATGTTTTTTTTCCAGCTGAGGAGTTCTTTATAGCTGGGTTTAAAGACAAAGATGCATCTTTTGACATCCCTTGAATAAATAATTTGGCCTCAGAAAACTGAATTTGTAGGAGTGGTTACTTTTTCCAGTGGAAGAATACAACCACACTAACTTTCAGTTAGAAAAATCTCAAAGAAACAAAACTGATGGGTTTCAATATTAATTTAACTTAATTCTGCCAGTTAAATATAGTCAAATCTCACCAGCACTGATCTCAGACTGTTATTAAGGATAATTAAGAAGAACTTAGAAAGCAAAATTTCAAGTGCACTGCAGTACCTTCATTGTAACTGTTATAACCATAACTGTGAAGACCAAAGTACCAAAGGTCCAATTTCCAAACATCTAAAAAGGAAAACAAGAAATTTAATTAGATGGAAGATACTTAAGAGGCAACACCGCCGTAATGCTAACAAGCTAGTTCCACCACATACTCAATGAACACTTCCCCATTTAGAACAGCTTAGTAAAACCAGCAGGGTAAAAGACAAAACAAGCCAAAAAAAAATTTATATTTCTTAAGTGAAAAAAAAATGCAGTTGTCCCTGTTAGATTTCTGTACAATTTTTCAGCTCTCGTCTCTAAAGAATCAAGTTTATTTTGAATCTAATTCCAGAGTACCGGTAATCCCATACAGTTTAGTCTCACCTGCAAAAATCTGATATTTCCTTTGCCCATTTCATGAACAATCTAGACTCATGCACTTATTTCTTGAAAGAGCTAGATTGTGTTAAATATTGTTTCTCCTCATTTCATGAACTATTTTTAATTAATGGGTTGTTAAAATGCAGTTGTTCTGCTTGTTTGTGTTGCTATGCTATAGGAAGCCTTAACTTGGTAAATACAGATTTGTACAGAAAAAAAATCCAGTCTAAGTATGGTTGTGGAGGAAAGATACACTGAGTGTATCACATTCATTTATTCCATTACATTCTAAAGAAGACATTTTAAAACTGAAATTATACCAGAGCCAGAAAAGGGATTTTGGTACATAGCTCAACAGGGAGATTATCCAAGATTCCCTGCAAAAGAGCCAAGCCCAGCCCATTAGAAAGGAGCAAATTCCATAATCAATAGCAGTGGTGCTCTCTCACTTTGTACCTACTAACAGCATGTTTTTTTATTCTCCTTTTCTTGGATTGCTATCTGTAACCAGGAAATTGAAAGTCCTGAGAACTGAGAAAAATCTGGGCTTGGTGAGAAGCCGAGGATGCAAGTCCCCTTCACCTAAAGATGGTTTGTCTACGAAGAGCTTTCTTTAAGCTGGCAGAAAGCTTTTACTATTAATTAGTGGATGTTTGCCATGGAGACTGTTAGAGGTGGAAGAGAAGAGGATTTTGGTAAACACCCCAAACCGCCTACAGTTTGCGTTAAGGATTGTATTTGTAGAAAGGCAGGGGGTGGGGAGGCCAAAGACAAAAAAAGCATGTAACTTGGCAACATTTCACTAATGCACAAGAACCTTTTCTTGAACACAACTAGTTGTCCACTTAGAATGAGAAGGATGGGAAAGCTCATCCAATCAGTTTCTTTTAATGTGTTCAAGGAGAATGAGTGATGCATTCTTGAATACCACTACAAAGGTACTGCATTTAGCGTCTACACGTCTTTTATCCTACAACATAAAATCTTACCATTTGCCTCTTAGGTTTGAATACCTGGCGACATGCACAGCATGAAAAAAAGGGGCAGGTTAGAAAGAAGCTAAAAGTGCAAAATTGTAGTGTACAGCTGTTACACTACATCAAAGTTAAATCAACCTCTCAGAATTCACACGGATTCTTTCTTCCTGCGTGCCAGCTATGCCGAAATTAAGAGTTCACCCATGGTGTACTTTTGTATTCCAGCTAAAAATAGCAGACAGTGGTTAGGCTATCCCAGATTCTTGACAATGCCCACAGAATGATTCAGAAACCAAGTTCACCCAGGGCAGGGGTTGGCAACCCGCGGCTCTGGAGTCACAAGTGGCTCTTTGGGCCTTCTGCCGCGGCTCCCTGTCCCATCACTGGTTCGCCCCGCCCCTCTTATTTCTTTTTTGGACTCCAGTCCGAAGCGGCAGGAAGCGAAGACTGCCTTACGCGCAAATATGGCGTGAAAGCACGTACAGGGCAGCTTTGCTCCTGCACTCTCCTCCCCCCTCCTCTCGTAATCCCCTGGTCGGCTGTGGCTGAGCTGGGAATGTGTGCACGTGCTGCGAGACCCTCCTTAAATGAGCCGCTGCCCGCCCCATGCGCGCCTTTCCTGAGCTTTGGCGCTCGCTTGAGGAGGGTCTCCCCGCCGGTGTACAGCTCCCAGCTCAGCCAGAGCTGTCCAGGGCATCCTGAGAGGAGGAGAGGGAAGAGGGTCGCTGGAGAGTGCAGGAATGAAGCTGCCCTGTACCTGCCTTCGCGCCACATTTGCACATAAGGAAGCCTTCGCTTCCTGCGACTTCAGGCTGGAGTCTCCCTAAGTGTGTGAACGCTCCCGGCTCAGCCACAGCCAGCCAGGGAGTTACGAGGGGGGGGGGGAGGAGGAGGACGGTCGCCTGAAGGGTGGGGGGAGTGGGGAAAGAGACACACACACACATAGACATAGAGAGACACATATAGAGTGATACGTAGAGAGAGGGTGAGACAGGGAGAGAGAGATACAGGGGGAAAGAGACACAGAGGGGGGAGAGAGAGAGAATAGTTTTGTGGCTGGATAGGCGTGGCTAGGTGGTCATGTGACTGGGTGGGAGTGAGTGACATTGAGTTGGCCACGCCCACCCAAGTTTTGTGGCTCCTGGTATGTTTTTTTTCTGTAGGAAACTGGTCCAAGTGGCTCTTTGAGTGTTTAAAGTTGCCAACCCCTGACACAGGGTATGTTAGTTAGTTGTGTAACGGAAATATAACAGATCACAAATAAGGCAGTTGAGGGAGATCTGGGAAAGAGGTTTTTGCTCAGCTCTGTTCATTTTCAAAGATGCTTATTCACAAGCTGTCAATAATTAACTTGGGCACCCAATTCTCTGGTTGCAAATTTGTGTGGAGCAATCCAGAAGAAATACACCAAACAGAATATAAAACAGAAATATGAGCAGTTCACAGTCAGCTCCTGAAATCCCAGAATTAATATTCACCCAACTCTGTTTGGTATCTCAATCTATATATTATTTACAGAACTCTTAGTTTATCTCCAGGCAATTTAAGTTTCACCCTTTTTCAAGGAAATTTGTATCTCAATAGCTATGTGATGGAAGCACAAACACTTCTGGCTGATATACGTTTTACAATGATTCAATTTACATAGCACAACATTACATATCCCAGAATACAGTTTTCATAATAGATTAGCATTCTACTTTACCTGGCCATTCCCTAACAACGAAGTGTCTTTTCCCATCAGAAGATAGGAGCCAAAGAAGAAAGCAAATGCATGAAAAAATCCCAAGAAGGTCCAGTAGAGGAAAGGCTTAAAGCCCAAGTGGGCATTTTTACTAATGTCTCTGTAGAAAGATGAAAAAGAAGGTATAATGCTCTGGCAGCTATTTTCAAAGGAACAAAAACTACTTTGATGCATGATGACGTCAATGAACTTAAGATCATCTTTAATGTTGTAAGAACACTCATAAAATTCATCTATCTACCTTTTTACCTATTCTGAGAAATTGCTATAAATGCTCTTCAAAAGTTGAAAGGAATCAAATATCATACTTCTTACTGTTAAGTACTGACCTTGAGATGTTTCATGGCCACTTGGTACTAAAGACTAATATGTTTTGGGAGAAAGGATGATGCTAACTCTCTATTTGCTTTCCCTATCCCATTGACAATCTTTAGTCAATGAGCCAGCTTATAAATGACCAAAGTATGGCCACATTTCTGAATAAATTTGTATAAACAAATACATTATTTTTAATAAGGGAAAAATGGTGTAATTAGAATCAGAAATCTCTTTATCATTTAGACTCTTTCAGGAGGAATAGGAGGGGGACCCCAAATTAATTACATAGTGTTATTTAGCAATGTTTGTCAGTCACCTCTAAATGAGATGGGCAACACATAAATTTAATAAGTAAGACTAAATATAAATAAAATCTACAATTCAAGTGTAGGCACATAATGGCTGCATTTTGACACCGCAATAAAGAGAAGAGGGTTTAGATTTCAGGGATTCTTCTGAACTCAAATCAATCAGAGGCAGCATGCTATTGAGAGGCAGTGGGTGCAGTGGCTAAGACACTGATCTAGGTAGGACTGGAGAATGCAGATTCCTATCTGACAGATTTATTAGGAAAAATAGCAGGAAGAAGCACTATAGATCTTGAGCACCTGTACACAAAAGGTGAATAATAAATCAAACAAACATACAGATAAATTTATAAATGAAGGATGAGATTGAGGACAGTGGTAGGTGAGGCTACAGCTGAACACAAGCATGGGCTACAGCTGGACACTGAACGCCAGCATTTCTCTCTCTCTCTCTTCCCAACAAACTATTCATGAGGTACAGGTCTTCTTTCCTCAATCCTTCCATCTCCCCCTCCCACCATCCGGTCAGAACCTATCCTTCCATCCCCCTATCATCCTGGTCCTAACTGTTAGTACCTATTCTTCCATCTCCCCCCCCCTCACCCCCCCCATCATAACTGATAAAGATTTTGAAAGGGAAATGAAACGTTTTCTTCTTCCTCAAGGAAAAAACAGTCCAGTTGCTTTTTGAAAAAGCACTTTTGAGACAACTATGACTTGGATGACTGAGAATCTCCACAGACATCTTTCCTCAGTGTTCAGCTAACCGCTTGCAAAGGGCATCTAAAATTATGCTAAGAGCCACAGTCTGAATATCCTTTGCTTTCTATACTCTGATCCTTAGATCCTCTCTGGCTTGTCAAGGTTATCCATATCGCAGCCAGAGCAATTTCAGGCTCTGCTTCCAAAAACTCTTTGGGACATCTTGCCTCCTGAGGTAAGATTGCCTCTTCTATCCTTCTGCAGGGGCCTGAAGACCTGGCTCTGCCAGATGGCTTGGAGTCCTAATGGGGGAGCATCACACTGGGGGTGGTTGTTGAATCAAGAGGCAATCCCATCTCCACCCCTTCCCTTTGCATCCTCTTCCCTCCCTTCACTATGTTTTAGCTTGATTGGGATTTCTACTTTTGTTCTTTTAAGACATTTGTTAGGATTACACTGAATGTCTATGGAGATTCTCAGTCATCCAGGTCATGGTTGTCTGTCCCAAAGGTGCTTTTTCAAGAGGCAACTGGACTTTCTGGTTTTTCTTTGAAGATGTTTCACTTCTCATCCAAGAAGCTTCTTCAGCTCTGACTGGATGTTGTGGAATGGAAGGATTTATATTCCTTGCAGGGAATAGATTTTACTGTTTTAATTCTGGAAGCCACCCATAGTCGTTTTACTACAAGATAGGGGAGAAGGCAAATAAATTCAATAAACAAACAAACAAACTTCTTAATGGAAGATGGCAGAACTGACTCTACATTAAATCTTAAGATATAAAGAATATGTTCCATCGTGGCCTAACAGCATAGGGATTCTTCTAATATTTCAAATGAGTATTAGCTCTTTCTACAAACAACCTATCCTAGACTTTAAAACCCAGCACCCTTTGGGTCTCTGACAAGTGGTTTTTGAGTAGGAGGAGCCGTACAGCTTGTCTCTTACCAAGTAAAATCCTCTCCTGAAAAGACCATGCTTACCGGTAGAGAGTTGGCTTGCTGTGCAATACATGAGGGTGCACATGCTGTTCAAAAAGACTATACATGAGGACTGGCAGGGAAGTGAAACAAATGTTGTACAAAGTCAGGTACACGCTGTCATACAGAGTCTGAAAGGTGAGAAAGGTGGAGAATTGGTGATTGTTTTAAAACCCATATACAGAAAAGTCAACAACAACAAAATCACCCCAATCTAAATGTCCGTTTTATTATATTAACATTAACAAAGAAGGAATGCAATAAAGCCAGCTTCTGTGACTTGAAGCTGTACAACTATAAAGAATTATTACAAACTCCTTCCATACTGTTCTTAAATTTCTTTTTCTCCCTCTCCAACACAAATGGTCTTAACACTCTTTCTAAAAAATTCCCGAAGTTCCAGTAGGCCCGTTTTTTGCCCTCCCCAAGGCTTCACGTGTGCCTTGCACTTACCTGCATCCAAAACGGGCTGGGTGGGGACTCCTGGGAGAGGCGGGGTAGGCAGGGCCAGCCAGGAGTGGGATTTGGGGGTTCTCCGAACTGCACAGAATCTTAGCTAGAGGTTCTTGTGAACCCCCAGCAGCCCACCCCTGCCTTTTTGGATGCTGCACCAAAGAACTTTTTTAGAAAGAGTGTTAAGACCATTTGTGTTTTGAGAGGGAGAAGAAGAAATTTGTTGACTTTTCTCCAGAGGGCCTCTGGAACCTGGGGAGGCCGTTTTCGCCCTCTCGGAGGCTCGAGGAAAGCCTCCAGAGCCCGGGGAGGGTAAAACGCCTCCCCCCGCCATGGTGCAGGAACCCGACTAAGCCACGCCCACCATGGCCATGCCCACCCAGCAACCGGGCAGAGAACCCTTTGCTAAAAATTTTGAAGCCCACCCCTGCAAAAAGGTATAAAAAAAGAACATCAACTTTGAAAATGCTGTATGTGTGTGTGTGTGTATCGGGGAGCAGAAAAGGCTTTAACATTCAACAAAGCTAATAGTCACTTTATGTTAGTGTTTCTCAACCTGGGCAACTTTAAGGTGTGGGGACTTCAACTCCCAGCATTGCTAGCTGAGGATTGCTGGGAAATGAAGTCCCCCCATCTTAAAGCTGCCCAATTGAGAAACGCTGCTTTTAGATAGATGCTGGGTGGTCAAGAAAAGGCCTGTGGGTTCCTCCCCCGCCCCCCCATTGAAGCAGAAAGTGGTTTGTCACCAAATTCACTGCAGGCCATCCCACGATCCATGTAAAAGAAAAGTTAAGAACTGGAGCAGCTTAGAAGGAAAGGCGGGAGGGGTGGGGTGGGGTGGGTGTTTGCTATCATCTTATTCTTCACTTCAGACAGAAACTCTTTCTGCTTAAGTGTCACCCGGTTTCTTTTCAGTCAACCCACTTTTTAATTTCATATTATTGCCTGTTTAGAATAATACTTAAAATACTGGATTTGGAGGTAGGAAAATCAGTCTGTGATAAGACTCCATTACTAATCATTCTTAAATGGGGCCAATCAGGATTACCCATAGTCTTTACTAGGTTATTTATAGATATATGTATTAAGATAAATTAGAATTTGCTAGAACTCATAATAGAGTAAGAGCAATTAATTTCAGAAATGCAAGAAAGGACAAACATTACTGGCTGTGGATAATCTGAGTTACAATACAGCACATCTTAAATTTAAATCTTAAATTTAAACGGGTATACATTTAAATGAGCTAAATCTGATTAATAAGAAAATCCCTTCTTGATCTAGCTATAACTGTCACTTGTCTCCCAGATATAAAATGAAATCCGTTTTTTAAAAGTGCTTTTGGCTTTCTAACATAGAAAAAGAATTAGCGGAACTAATCAGCACTATCCAAAGATAAATATTACTTTGACTAAACTCTTATTCCGCATGGAACTCTTTAACACAACTTTCAATTTTTATCTTTATGATTGCCTAACAATAAAATGGCCCGACAAGAAATGGGATTGTTCTTGGATACATTTTTACAGACAGAAAATTTAAAGGAAATATATAGGGATGGAGAAACAGATGCTAATGAAACATCATCTAAATGTTAGTAAGAGGTATTCGATTTTAGCTCAGCTTACTTCTTGGTGGCTGTCTACAAATGTAAAGACAGAAAGAGGAGAAGAATAAAAAAAAATTGACTACTCACTTGTTGTGAAAATAAGCAGAAGAATTGATATAAAAACTGCGGTGTAATAAAACACACATTCTGGAAAACAAGATGCGATGCAACCAATGAGAGACATAAAACACCAAATTCTATCACGCCCATCCAAACATACCTTGAATATCAAAAGAAGTTTTTTAAAAACCACTCATTTTCTGAGATTCATCATCCAGATGGATAATGATATCACTGACTGGAATTAAACTACTTGTTGATGGTGGAAGAGTGGTGTGGTGGCCTAGAGGTGGAGCTCTCACCTTACAATCAGGAGACTGGGAGTTCGATCCTAGGTAGAGGCAGATATTTCTCTCTCTGGGCGCACTGAGAATATATCTGCTGAACAAAACTCCACATTGGCGACAGGAAGGGCATCTGGCCATTAAAACACTCTGCTAGTTCCATTCAGTTGCCCAGACTCCACCCCACAAGGTATTATGGGGTCGTTAAATGACGATGATGATTGAAGGAAATGGTGGAGAGGAAGTACTCCCATAAGGCATTTGGGTTCCATCAATGTTGCAAACAATGAAGCAGTCTTCACTAATACCATCACTCTAACCCACTTTAGACTTAGAAACTCCATAAGGCCTTGTTTAAAACAGAAAGCATGAACTCTGTCCTGATACCTAGCCAGAATGCTCTCATCTCACTTTGCCTTTTAACTGTGATCTGCATGATGTGCACATCGAAAGAGATCACAACCTGTTTATAATCTAGACACTGCAACCATGATTAAAAGCTGGCTTAACAAGAAATAGCCTTACTGCAGATATGTTTTGGCTTGGAAGTGAAGAAATTAGTAGCAAGTTGGTGGAAGGCGATGGATGCTCCTAACCAAATATCATCAGGGAAAAACCTTACATGTGATCCTTGACTTATAGCCATTCATTTAGCAACCGTTCAAAGTTACAATGTCATTAAAAAGTGACTTATGACTGAACCTCACACTTATCACCATTGCAGCATCCCAGTGTCATATGATTGCCGTTTGGAACCTTCCCACAGTTTCTGACAAGCAAAGTCAGCAGGGGTAGACAGATTTGCTTAACGACCCAGATGCTTCACTTAACAACTGCAGTGATTCGTGTACCAACCATGGCAAACAAGATTGTAAAATTGGGCACAACTCGCTTAACCACTGCCTTGCTAGCAACAGAAATTCTAGTCCCCACTGTTGGTCCTAAGTTGAGGACTATGTGTCTATGTGACTACATTCAAAAGTTGTTTCTCCTAGAGACCAGGCCTCTGTGTTCATGGTTTGCTTTAAAAATGCTTTTAGGACAATGTTACAACATACAGCTAGTCCACAACTTGCAACTACAATTGAGTCCAAAATTTCTGTTGTTAAGTGAGACATTTGTTGAGTGAGTTTTGCCCTATTTCACGACCTTGCTTGCCATAGTTATTAAGTGAATCTGATTTCTCCATTGATTTTGCTTGTTGAAGGTTGCAAAAGGGGATCACATGACCTTGGGACCCAGCAACGGTCATAAGTATGAACCAGTTGTCAAGAATCTGAATTTTGATCACATGATCATGGGGATGCTGCAAAGGTCATAACTCTGAAAAACGGTCATAAGTCACTTTTTTCAGTGCCGTTGTAACTTAGAACAGTCACTAAGTAAACTGTTGTAAGTTGAGGACTACCTGTAGATTCAGTTTCTACAATATCTCTTTTCTTAACATTACCCTCCTAAACGTTACAAGTTCCAAGCATAATTGTAATGATAATTGAGTATCAGAGTTTATATACTACTCCACTTTTGCAAGTAAGCCCACTATTTAAAAGAAAAACTTCCGAGCTAAAAGAATCCCCAATTATATGCTACAGACACTTACCTTGTAAAAAAAGTACTGTACAAGGGTTGCTATCCTAATATAATAAAGGTGGCCATGGACAAAAAGTAACTTGGAGAGGAATTTAAATCTTGCTATTGCATAGTCGCTGTTTCTTACAGCTTGTCTGCCTTCTTTGCCCATGATACCTGCAATTTGGGTAAGCAAAAATAACAAAAATTAACTTGGCTTCCTAAGCATGATGACACATGTAAATCAGTGGTGGAATTCAAATTTTTTTTGCTACCGGTTCTGTGGGCGTGGCAGGGGAAGGATACTGCAAAATCTCCCTTCTCACCCCACTCCAGGGAAGGATACTGCAAAATCTTCATTCCCACCCCACTCCAGGGGAAGGATACTGCAAAATCCCCATTCCCTCCCCACTCCTTGGGGCCAGCCAGAGGTGGTATTTGCCGGTTCTCTGAACTATTCAAAATTTCCGCTACCGGTTCTCTAGAACCTGTCAGAACCTGCTGAATTTCACCCCGATGTAAGTCAAAGTGAAACAACATATGCAACAATAATGGAAGATTGAGCCTTTTAGGGTGTTGTCTGGAGTTTTAAAAGAGGCCTGACCAAATAAGAGCACATTTTTTATTCCACAATTGAAAGAGAAAAGGTTGTATATATGTGTAGGTATTTTCTATTGCTCAGTTACACAACCAAGCTCTTTTTTTCATGGAAGGATCCAGAAATAGTTTTGGGGAAGAGGGCAGGGCAGATACTTCTGCCAATAGCATTCTCACCATCTATTATCCTGCTCCAGAGTAGTGGTTCTCAAACATTTTGGTCTCAAAACCAATTTTCATTATTAAAAATGGCTGAGGATCACAGAGAGCTTCAGTATTTATGTGGATTATGTCTATTAATATATATTGTATTACAAATTAGAACTGAGAAATGTTAGCATATTTTGACTTTGTGGACCCTTGAAAGGATCTCGGCTACACTTTGAGACCCTCTTCTCCAGAGGAAACGGCTTGGAAGCACTGGCAAGCCATCAATTCCCATTAAAAACAAACAAACATTTTTTTTACCTTTTTTACTAACTTAGGCTCCTTCAAATATGCTAGGACTATATACCCAGCCGGCATTAACACTTACAGCATATTTGGTGGGCATCAAGTTGCAGAGGGTGTGGGGTTATTAATTTATTTACTTATAATTCTATTGCAATCTGAATTTCTTTTTAAGTGGTCTATGATAACGATCTATCACTATTGTTGTATGTACACTGAGAGTTTATGCACCGGAGACAAATTCCTTGTGTGTCTAATCACACTTGGCCAATAAAGAATTCTAATATTATAATTAGGAAAACAAAATTATAGTCTAAAAATTAACCATTGCAGCTAAATTTCAAAGAAAATGTTTGCAACTGAGAAGACGCAATCATAAACCCATCACAGGATCATTACTTATGCTTTTCTTAAAAAGCCAAGTTTTAACAGATTTCCTGAAGCTTGGGACAGATTCTGAATTTGGGATGATGCTTTTAAATTGAAGACCTTTTCGGAAGACATTTCTGGTTGACAAGCTGGATGTAAGGATGCTTTCTTTATTTAAATATGTTTTACTTATTAGTTTATTTATTTCCCCTTTTCCCCTTTTCTTTTAAATTGAAAATTTTAAATCTGTTTTTAAATTATTGGGATGTTTTAAATTTGTCTCAGGCTAAATTGTTTAATCTGGTTTTATTTTCGCTTTTAAATTTTGTATTTATGTATTTTATTTTGTGCTTGTTCACCGCCCTGAGTCCTTCGGGAGTAGGGCGGTATATAAATCTAATAAAACAAACAAACAAACAAACAATTTAGCTGAAAGACTCCTGTGTACATAAAATCTAATTTAGTACTTTTTTATTTATGGAGATGATACCTGTTATAAATCCCAATTAATGAAGTTTAAATACAGTGAGACTTTGATCATCACCTAAATATTACCTATGCCAACATGAGCTTCTTGTATCATGCTCACATCATTAGCTCCATCACCGATAGCTAATGTGATAGGCTTCTCTGGAGATGTTTTCAGCAGCCGTACAACCTGTAAAGGAAAGACAGACTTCTTAAAAAACAAAAAATTGACATTATTTGGGAACCAGTGGTTTGAGATATTGATATTTCTCAACAAACCTCAGAGGGCAATACTTAAAATTCAAGCTTTTAACCAAAACATTTTCTAATGGATATAAAATAATTCAGAGTTTAAGACTATCTTTCATGGAGCTATATCAATCCTATGTGCTTCCAATAAATCAAGAAATTACTTCCACTGAAAACTGATTGACGGAACATTGGGTGTGATCTAGGGCAGGGGTCATCGAGCTTTTGGACCCCAGGGACCACTAAATTCATAATTTTAAAACCCACGGACCACTAATATGATCTACCTAATGACCAGCTGGGTGGGCGTGGCTAGGCGGTCATGTGACTGGGTGGGCATGGCCAACTCAATGTCACTCATATCAAGGGGCGCCTTGCCAGCCTCTACTCGCCCTCCCCTCGCAGCCACTCCTCTCCTGCCCTCCTTAGGGCCCCAACAGAAAGTAGTTGGAGCTAAGCCACCATGAGAAAGAGTTGGCAAAACAGCTCAGTTCAAATTGGATCTGACTGAGAAGGAGGCTCAGCAGAAGTACCTCACTGAGGACTACAAGCATAGGCTTTCCAAGCAGAGGGAAGACCTGCGGGAGTGCAAGGCCAGGTACCAGCACCTGGAGGCTCAGTGGGCTGAGATGGTCAGCCAGTTCCAGGCCATGAGGCAGTCCCACTGGGCCCTCCACCTCTTCACCACCAGCAGCACTTCCCTCCAGCCTTCGCCGAAAGCCCCGCACCAGGAGGCAGAAGCAAACCCCAAGTTGGAATTTCTTCCCCCCTCCAAGCCACACAAGAAGACCCCAAAGGGGTCTTCTCTCTGCAGCAGCACAAACGATCATTGCATGTATTCAGCTCAGGGGCTGTAGTTTGAGGACTCCTGATTTAGTGCAATATAAAAAATGCAAATAATTTTTCTGTGGACCACCAAAATTTTCTCACAGACCACCAGTGGTCCACGGACTGCCAGCTGGTGGCCACTGATCTAGGGTTAGGATCTCCTGATCTATTATTCAATACAGTGTAAATCCAAATAGCAAGATTTTTTTTCTCAAAGCAAATATGGCATATAACTAAAATGTCTCCGAAATAGTTTAATTGGCTTCGTCTCTTAAAATCTTAGGAAAGCTATTTTAGAGAAAAAAAGGAACACATTTTCTGCATCAGAGGTAGGGAGCTTCTCCTCCTCTGCTTAACTATAATTCCCAGCATTCCTCATTTGCTCAATATATGGAATCAAATGCAGGACCCAAAGCAAATAATCAAGGCTTACTGCAGTGTTTAATAGTACATAATGTTAAAAGGAATTGCTACACCAAGACTTTTGAAGCTGACAGGCTGGGAAATGTTGGTGTACTTTATGTATTGGTAGTTCTTGACTTATGACGACAACTGAACCCAAAATTTCTGTTGCTAAGTGAGACAGTTGTTAAGTGAGTTTTGCCCCATTTGACGATCTGTTCTGCCACAGTTGTTAATCACTGCAGCTGTTAAGTTAGTAACATGGTTGTTAAGTGAATCTGGCTTCCCCACTGACTTTGCTTGTCAGAATTTCACAAAAGGTGATCACATGACCCCAGGACATCGCAATCTTCATCAATATGCGTCAGTTCATCAATACCAGTCAGTTGCAAAAGTGTCTGATATTTGATCACGTGACCAGTGGGTTGTGAAAAACAGCCTTTTTCCAGTGCCGTTGCAACTTTGAACCGTCACTAAACCGTTCGAAGTTGAGAACTACTTGTAATAATAATAATAATAATTTTATTTCTATACCGCCCTTCTCCCGAAGGACTCAGGGCGGTGTACAGCCTATTTAAAAACACAGACAAAACAGCAATATAAAATTTAAAATGATTAAATAAATTGGCTCAGATTTAAAACCCCAAAAAATTTAAATACCCCAATTTAAAACTATTATGTTGATAGTCCGGCCTGGCGGAACAACAGGGTCTTCAGTGCGCAGCGAAACACCCGGAGGTCGGAGATCTTACGAATTTCCGGGGGCAGTTCGTTCCACAGGGCATGGTGCTCCCACAGAGAAGGCCGATGGACCCAGAGGAGACCCTCTCTGTGGGAGCGAACTGGTCGGTGGGAGGCTATTGGTGGCAGAAGACGGTCTCGGAGGTACCCGGGTCCTATGCCATGGAGCGCTTTAAAGGTGGTAACCAACACCTTGAATCGCACCCGGAAGACCACTGGGAGCCAGTGCAGCTCGCGCAGGAGGGGTGTCACATGGGCACAACGGGTTGCGCCCATAACCACCCGTGCGGCCGCATTCTGGACCAGTTGGAGCCTCCGAGTGCTCTTCAAGGGGAGCCCCATGTAGAGAGCATTACAATAGTCCAACCGGGAAGTAACAAGGGCATGAGTGACCGTGCGCAGGGCGTCCCGATCCAGAAAGGGCTGCAACTGGCGAATCAGGCGAACCTGATAAAAGGCCCCCCTGGCCATGGCCGTCATATGCTCTTCTAAAGACAGCCGCACGTCCAGGAGGACACCCAGATTGCGAGCCCTCTCCGTGGGGGGCAAAGATTCACCCCCAATAGTCAGCGATGGCACCTGCTGACTATATCGGGGCGCCGGAAGCCACAGCCACTCGGTCTTGGAGGGGTTGAGTCTGAGCCTGTTCCTCCCCATCCAGACCCGCACGGCCTCCAGGCAGCGAGACATCACATCAAGGGCATCGTTGGGGTGGTCTGGGGTGGAGATGTACAGCTGAGTATCATCAGCGTACAGATGGCACTTCACCCCAAAACCACGGATGATCTCACCCAGCGGCTTCACATAAATGTTGAACAGGAGGGGCGAGAGGACCGACCCTTGCGGCACTCCCCATGCGAGACGCCTCGAGGTCGACCTCTGTCCCCCTGCCAACACGAACTGCGAGCGGTCGGAGAGGAAGGAGGAGAACCACCGCAAAACGTTGCCCCCTATTCCTAACCCCCTCAATCGCTGCAGCATGATACCATGGTCGATGGTATCAAAAGCCGCTGAGAGATCTAATAGGACTAGGACAGAGGAGCAACCCCTGTCCCGAGCCCTCCAGAGATCATCCACCAACGCGACCAATGCCGTTTCTGTGCTGTACCCCTGCCTGAAGCCCGACTGGTACGGATCGAGATAGATAGCTTCATCCAGGTGCCGGGGAAGTTGTCGTGCCACCACGCTCTCAACAACCTTCGCCACAAAACGAAGGTTGGAGACTGGACGATAGTTGGCTAATTCAGCCGGGTCCAGGGAAGGCTTCTTGAGGAGGGGCCTCACTACCGCCTCTTTCAAGGCAGCAGGAAAGGCACCCTCACTCAGAGAAGCAGCTATAATCCCCTGGAGCCAGCCTCGTGTAACCTCCCGGGAGGCCAGTACCAACCAGGAGGGACACAGGTCCAATAAACACGTGGCGGCACTAATCTTACCCAGAACCCTGTCCACATCCTCGGGAGTCACAGGATCAAACTCCTCCCAGATAACATTCTCAAGACCTGCCCCGGTCTCCTCCCGTGGACTCATCCAATCGGAGTCCAAGCCATCCCGAATCCGAGCGACTTTATCATGCAGGAATTGCACAAAATCCTCAGCACGACCCTGCAAGGGATCTTCCCGCACTCCCCCCCGAAGAAGGGAGTGGGTCACCCTAAACAGGGCGGCTGGGCGGTTCTCTGCAGATGCGATAAGAGCGGAAAAATGGTTAGATTTTGCCGCTTTTATCGCCACTAGGTAGGTCTTGATATAAGACCTCATCTGTGTCCGGTCGGAATCGGATTGACTAGTCCTCCAAATACTCTCTAGGCATCTTTTCCGACGCTTCATCTCTTGTGCACCTAAGACACACATGCAAATCATATTGCAAGACAATAGCAAGCCCAATTGCCTATCTATTTCGTAGACAGGTGGGCAGGGGGTTATTAGGCAGAACACTCAATCCTTCTAAACTCAGAAGGTCGAGAGAGGCTGTGGCAGGTGTTATAGCAGGCAAACACGGCTGATGCTCAACCTTCCTGAGCTCCCGAAACTCACCTTTGCTTTCTGCAGGGGTGCCATGCGACAGCACAGCACAGCAGAGCAATTTCGGCAGAGCTCCATGAAGAGTTTCTCGTGTTGCCTGAGGGCAAGGGAGAGGCTGGTCCCATCCACTACCAGCCCGTGCTGGATTACGTGGTCATCCTTTATTCTAACAAAGGAAGGGAAAAAAAACCGGGACAAACAAATCCATCGTTGTTTCATGAAGGACACCAGTCAGACCCATCAAATGCTTTATGATCAACTACGGACAATGAGAACAGGCTGAACTAGGAACCCTTCCCACCTGCTAAGCAGCAGGCTCATTAGCATATTATATGCTCATTTTGTAGCAAAGATGATGATGTAATATAGATCGCTTTGTTTTCATATCGGAAAGTTCTGCCTTAGTAATGTGAAAATAACATTTCAAGTTGGAAATATGCTATTTTAGTTATTCTGAGCTGATTTAAAGTGTCCCTCATGTTGTTTACAACCATTCTAGAAGTGCTCTGAGTTCAAAATAGGGCCATTTTGAGACTAGAGTATTGCTGGTAATGACGTCACAACTTATTTGTTGTTCAAAACCAAATTTTTCTAGCTTAAAATCAGGTGTCAATAAAAAAAAAAAGTGGAATCTTTTAGAACAGTGTTTCTTAACTGTTTTTTTTCCCCCTCTCAGGACTTGTATGCTAGAACTGTATTGGCTGTTTTGGAATATTTTGAACATCATAAAAGTTATGGAGGAACCCAAAAGAGCTTTTCATATTATGGGTTATATTTATCGATGTCTGCCATATTAAAAATTAAAATGGATGCATTCCCTGCTGCTGCCATTTCTCACAGCTGTTTGATAGGAGTTTAATATTGTATTATTTTTAAACATAGGCTGGCAGAATAATTTTGATTTTGAGCACCACTGACAGTGTCTTGGGGGACCCTCAGGGGATCTCGGACCACATTTAAGAAGCAGTTTTAGAAACCTCGGTTCCCCCATCGGAGGTCGTCGACATCAGTTCAGAAGTGTGCAAGGTTTTACCTCTTGGCGAGCTGTCTCAATTGCTCCGCACACGTACTGTCTGATTTGTGCTGCACTAGTTCCAGGATGTTCATGGTTCTGTGGAAGTGTCCGCATGATAAGCTAACGCTTACTGCCGTTTCGTGCTTGTCTCCAGTGAGCACCCACACTTTAATCCCTGCCAATCGAAGAGCTTCTATGGTTTCCTGGACTTTATCTTGCAGCCTAAAAGTAAGCAAATTGCAATGGTGAACAAGATCAGGAACTGATTGGTCAGGATCACAATTCTCTGGCTCAGACATTGTAGCATAGCTGCGATAATCTGTTAGTCCAAAATCAGAAAGACTCTGATAGGGTCTTTTCAGACTAACAAATTTTATTCAAAGATGATTATAGGTAGTGCTCAACCCTCAACAGTTCATTTAGTGACTGTTCAAAGTTATAATGGCATTGAAAAAAGTGACTTACGAACATTTTTCACTCTTACGACCATTGCAGCATCCCCATGTTCACATGTTCAAAATTCAGACCCTTGGCAACTGGAATGTACCGTATTTTTCGGAGTATAAGACGCACCCTTTTCCTCCCTAAAAGGGGGTGAAAATTTAGGTGTGTTTTATACACTGAATGTAGCCCCGCCCACCCAGTGGCCCCCACCCTTTGGCCTCTGCCTTGCAGCAATTACCTCCTTGCAAGCAAACAGCAAGAAAAAACAGCTTTCAGCTTCAGCACAGCTTAATTAGCACAAGTTGATTGGATTGGCCTCCTGACTCTTAGCCGATTTGCTCTCAGCTGTTTTGCATAGGGCTCTGCTGCTTGCTGCAAAGAGATAAATTGCTGGAGCAGATTTTTTTTCCTTGTGCTAATCAAGCTATGTTGAAAACGAAAATGAAAGTAAATCAGGTTGTTTGCTGTTTGTTGCAACGAGGCAAAATTTCTCAGAGGCAGAGGGAGATTTCTTTTTCTTCTTTTCCTTGCCAAAAAAGGTAGGTGCGTCTTATACTCCAGTGTGTCTTATACTCCTAAAAATACAGTATTTATGATGGCTGCTGTGTCCCAGGATCACGTGATAATCTTTTGCAACCTTCTGACAAACAAAGTCAATGGGGAAGCCAGATTCACATAAAACCATGTTACTAACTTAACAACTGCAATGATTCATTTAACAACTGTTGCAAGAAAGGTTGTAAAATGAGGCCAAACTCACTTAACAAATATTTCACTTGTGGTCGTAACTCAATTGTGGTCGTAACTCGACTACATCCATGAAGATGGATGTGATGAAGTGAACTGCAGTTCAGGAAAGCTTCTGCCAACAGAATTGAACAAATTCTGTTTGTCTGAAAAGGGGCTCCTGCTGATTTTTTTTATTTTGTTGAGATTATCCGTTTTCACTATTAATGGAGAAGATTGAAAGGTTTGCCTTCCAACCACTGGATATTTTATATTCAAACACTTTGGATATTTCATGTCTAAGCATCCAATGCATTCATCAAACTTGGTGTTTACATCAAGCTATTTCCATATTCAGGCTTATTCCAAGAAGCGACAACTCCAGAAACGATGTTCATTTTTAACAGGCCCAACAATGGGAAGTAGCATCTAGTGACTTTGGTTGATCTTTGGGGGGGATGGGACGGGGGGAGGGAAACTAAGTAGGAAGGACCTAGGAGATCACCAGGAAATCCTACAGCGTAAGATAGACTAGGAAGTTACAAACAAACAAGTATTTCCAAAGAATACCGGGGCAAACTACTTCCCCATTGTGGTGAACAAAATGTCACCAAAAATTGAATTTTACTCGCACCTTTACGCAGTATAAAACACATCTAGGCCATCAATAGGATGGTTACCCGATTACAGGTCAGATTTCATGTCATAGGGAACATACTGGTTAGCACAAGCTATACCTTAATAATATCAATTCCCAGTAGAGTTTGGCTGTTTTCTTGCAGAGATTTCATTCAGACAACAAAGCTCAGAGAGCAACAAGGACTCCACAGTTCAATCCTGAGCTACAAATATTATCTTCTATTGGTTATCAACTCCCAGTCTTATTACACTGATGCTTGTTAAACAGGGATCATATACTAGGTCTGTTAAATACTAATTGCCACCTTCCTAATTCATCTTATGGTTGTGGGGTGGCAGCTACAAAGCTTTCCTACTTTGAAGTGCAACATGTTCAATAGGATAGTAGCAGCCTTTGACTTAGGACCAAAACTGAGCCCAAAGTTTCTATTGCTAAGCGAAACAGTTGTTAAGTGAGTTCTGCCCCATTTTACAACCTTTCTTGTTACGTGAATCACCACAGTTGTTGAGTTGGTAACATGGTTGTTAATTGAATCTGGCTTCCTCATGGATTTTGCTGGTCAGAAGATTGCCAAAAGTGATCACATGACCCCTGGGACACTGCAACTGCGATAAATATAAGACAGTTTTCAACCATCTGAATTTTGATCATGTGATCGTGGGGATGCTGCAATGGTCAAGTGTGAAAAATGGTAATAAGTCCCCTTTTTTCAGTGCTGTTGTAACTTTAATGGTCATTAAATGAATGGTTGTTAAGTCGAGGGCTATCTCTACTTGTTCACAAAAAGGCTGGGTGCCGTGATTCCAATTGCCATCTTCCCTCTTTAATGCTGATGGGAAAAATCATATGTATCAGATAATGTTATTTATGGAGAGATGAATGAGCATCAAGCTATTCTGCCTGTGCCAGAATTTCTTTTCCCAAATAAACAGGAAGTATGTACTTGTCTTCGACTCCTGTAGCTCCAAGTAATTCCAAGTCTTTTTCAATAAAGTTATATGCCTCTGCCAACCGTTCTTCTCGTTGCTGCAAGGCAGTTTTTGCTTCAAAAAGACGCTGCTCCACTTCTTTATACTCCTCCTCTGTGAACTTTCTGTAAGCTACACAAAGAGTCCTTAGCCCTTTCTGTGAAAAGAATAGAGAGTGGTTATTTAGATAAGACACTGACTAAAAGGCTTGCTTTCTGATGGAGTGTGCTACTTCTTTAAGTGAAAGCCCTGACAGTTTAGGTCTCCCAAAAAGTGCCTTTTTTTGACAAGGCACTTTTACACCCATTAATAGAAGAGGATGAAACCAAGCATAATAGACCAAAATTCAAGGACAAATGCTGTCTCCAGTCTGCCAAAGGATGCTAATTTTGGAAGGCAATGAAGAGATTCTTCTCTCTGGGCCACTTAAATCAGAGGAAACTGCATATGGGGAGAAGTAGGAGGAAGAGAGGGAAGTAGAGAAAGGCGCATGGTCTGAAGAAGCTGAAATGGTTTATTTTTCCAAATGCCATTCTCTCAAGACGTTTTGACTACAATTCCTATAAGTCTCTGAACATCAAAGCTGGGGATGATGGGAAAGACTGTGGTAAAATCAGACACTCCCATCAGCTCCCCAGCTTTATAAACAAAATCCATAAATGGGGTCAGCATCAGGTAGCTATCCCAGGATCTTAAGCCAATGCACTCTGAATAAAATTCCCTAGCGATGCCCAAATCAGGTCTTAGCCCAAACACTTAATGGATCTGAAATATTATATATTATACTGCTTATTATAGTATCATTGTATTTGTTACAATAATAATTGCTTCTTAATTTAGCACAGGGATGGGGAACTATGGCCCCTGTATGACCTGCGAACTTCAACTCCCAGAATTCCTGAGCCAGCCATGCTGCCTCAGGAATTCTGGGAGTTGAATTCCATAAGTTATACAGGGGCCATAGTTTTCCACCCCTGATTTAGCAGCACCTCTACCATCATCTACTAGAAAGTTTGAAAGCAGTGCTCTTAACATACCAATGCAAATTCATCCACATGGAGTCTTGTTTTTTCTATCTCACCATTTTTACTGGAAGGAAGAATGACAGATTCTGCTCCTTTGGTAAATAAGAGTTTTTCACCTACCCAAGAAAACAAAAAAGTGCAAATTAGTAGCTCTTCTCAGAGGCTATTAATGTTCCTTTTATAGAGCTGGCTTCAGGGTGTTGGAGAATACATTAACATCAAAAACATCACATATTTTATCTTACCTGACGGACTTTCTACGATCACACTCATTCTCCTACGGTTGGCATCAAAGTCCAGTACGTGTAGTAATTTGTACCTTTAAAAGGAGAAGAGGCTCATGTTTAGTTTGGGTTTGGGAAATGAAGGCCATACTTGTGAAATGCAGAAAATTACGAAAACTAAAAGGTAAAGGTTCCCCTCGCACATATGTGCTAGTTGTTCCCGACTCTAGGGGGTGGTGCTCATCTCCGTTTCAAAGCTGAAGAGCCAGCGCTGTCCGAAGACGTCTCTGTGGTCATGTGGCCGATATGACTAAACACCAAAGGCGCATAAGAACACTGTTACCTTCCCACCAAAGTGGTCCCTATTTTTCTACTTGCATTTTTTACGTGCTTTCGAACTGCTAGGTTGGCAGAAGTGGGGACAAGTAACGGGAGCTCACCCGTTACATGGCACTAGGGATTCGAACCGCTGAACTGCCAACCTTTCGATCGACAAGCTCAGCGTCTTAGCCACTGCGTCCCTCTATGAAAACTGCATGCCTGCAATTGCACACATAGGTTATACTTGATGGGCATGCAGGGCCTGGAGAAGAGAAGAGGACTCCTCTCAACTGAGTGGCTGATTATAGTCATTTCTGTAATTGATGGAGGGAGAGAAAAAAGGAAGGAACAAAGGTGAAGGGATTCCTGAATGTACCATTTCCCCCAAAGCTGTTTGCCATTTACTTGATCTTCACATCTCATTTCACTAAGTGGCTTACTTATAAGGATTCGTTTTAAGTAGACTTCTATTTCTTCAATGTAACCGAACACAACCTATACTTAAGAAAACAAAGTGCTCATAGTAAGCAGGTTTTAAGCTGACATATCATTAACTGTTCAAGTGACACTTAAGGAGAGGACTTTTGGGTTTGTACCTTAGGAGGAATAACATTATTCTAAGGGCAAATTCGTGGAAGATACAATGTTTAAGAAGCTACTAAAAGAGTAAACCAAGAAAGATGCCTGGACCAGATGGGTTTGTTGAGGCTGCATTATAAATGTTTTGAGGATGAATGTTTACAACCTCTACAAAGCAAAGTGATCCCAAAATCTGAAGAAACACTTTACTGAAAAAAAATGTTCCTTAGTTATTATTTCCTTTTATACTGCTTCTTTCTACACTGGGGGGAATGAGATGAAGATTCTGATGAAAGATCAAAATGAGTTAAGATTCAGAAATTAGGACCTTGTTAATCCACTTTGGCTGAGGCTAATGGGAGTTGCATTCAGCAAACATAGTTTTTCACTCCTACCCTACTGAATGTCAACTTTTTTAAAAACACAACAACAATAAGGAAACATGTTCTTTGTTGTTTTACCTTTCTGGCTTTCCACAGCTTTTAAGCTCCATGCTTTCTGCATTTGCCCCAGTAAACACAACACCAACCCTGAAAATTCAAAAGAAAGTGAACAAAGGGGAAAGCCTTATGGAAATTAAAAACAATGTTTTAGAGAGAAAAGTAACATTGCTCACCATTACCCATTCATAGTTTTTAAATACTTTTAGAAAGAAACCTAAATAATTGTTTCATGAATGTGCTTTTAGAATTCATAAGACTCCTATTTAAGGATGGTTAAACAGTAACAAGCTGTATTAAAGCCAGTTGATTTAATCAAAAATTAAATAAATTTCAAAATTAACATCTAGACTCCAATATTTGCTAATCTCTATGCAGCTAGATTAAAGAACAAGAATTAAAATGTATGCCGTATAGATTTAGTTATGTTAGGGTTAGGGTTAATTCTGCAATACTTTGGCTGCAGTTGAGACTTATCAGCTGAATTTACTAAATGAAAGAGCAAGGTAGAGTAATTCTAGCAGAAGGACCAGAGATAATCAGTCTGGTATTATGGCTTTTACTTTACTAACCAATCATGGTGTTCATGTTACAAACACCGATGTAATGCTCTCCTCCCTGGTATTCTCAAAGTCATACAAGAGCACATCTGGTAAGAGTTATAGAAAGGCTGGACAGCACTTGGACTTCTTGCTTGCTGTCCCAACTGGACTCCAGACAAAGACGTATCCATTTATAATGCAGAGCCTGGCCTTATAATCCTTACCTGCGAGCAGCTTCAACTAAAGCTTTTTCATCTGGGGACGAGGCGTAGTACTCCAGTTCAGATGGTAGGCCATTGCTACGCCATGGGCTGTCACAAATGCCATCAGTTTGGTCATTATTAATCTGCACTGTATGACAGAGACAAAGAGCTTTCAGGAAGAGTTCTTCCTCATGTGTCTGTTAAAAAAATTAAAGACAAAACACTGTGATGAATCTGATTTATTAATTTTATCTTTCTCCTATGAAGCAAACGTCTACGACTTACTATTAGCCACAAAAATGTAAGTCTGTGTATTTCCATAGTGAACATCTGACCTATAGTAGCTGGAGGATTGTTCAGTGCTTTGGACAGTATTGTGTGTTGTTGCTTTTTTTAGTTAAGAGAAAAACAACACATAATACTGTCCAAAGTACTGAGCAAGGTCTTACAGTGTTTTATAGAAACTTTGGACAAGATTTTTACATTTTTCACGAATGGTCCTATCTACAAGTTTATTAAAATAGTTATTTTTTTTTTATTAACAATTAAAAGTCTACAGATAGTCCTCAAGTTATGAAGGTAACTGAGCCCGCAACTTCAGTCATAAGTTGTGACAATCATAAAGCAGGTCATTACATGATTTTGCCCGATTTTACAAGCTGGATTTTTTTGGGGGGGGAGTGTGTTGCCGTTATTAGTTAGTTGTAAAGCAAATGCAAACTATTGGTAGTTGTAAAGCAAATGTAACGGTTGTAAAGTGAACCCACTGTTCGCGATAGAGAATTTGGGAAATAAATATCAGTTTTTGGAAAAATATTGTAAACTGTGGGACGCTGCAAATGGCTATAAATGTGGGTTGGTTACTAAATATGGTCATCTGACAAAGGGAGGGAGGCAGGTGGATGGTGGAACTTCAAATTCGATTTATAAGTTCCTTTTTTAGGGTCTGTTGTAACTTTGCTGATGAGTCAAGATTCAAGGACTATTTATATACAGACAAACTACCAGGTGTTTTCTATTATTTCATGCAGAATCTAAACATGGGCTTTTTTATAATGAACATGTTATTGTACATATAGATATTACATATGTAGGAAGTCTAGTTTGTCAAACCTCTTTCTTCTTCATTTTATAATCCAAGAGACAGAATTAAGAGTACCCAATCAACATAATCTTCCCAGCCATAGGAGTTTTTATGTAATAAGTTTATATTTTGAATATGTTTTAGTTTAATTCCGTTAAAAGGTATTACATACAGCCAGGCAAGATAATTTTTTTTAAAATTATTAAATTCATATCCTGCCTTTATTTTGTGCATCTTAAAGCAGAGTACATAATTCTCCCACCTGCTGGTCAAAAGATTAAACAGTTGTCCTACTTCAAGATCAGTCTGAATTTCTTTCCCTCAAAATATAGAGGCTTCAGTTAGAAGAGTATTAATAATGTATTACACTAGCTGTACTAAAATAGCAGCTTAGCACTGCTGCCATTACATTCTGAGTTTGACAGAGTAAAAACACTTTTTTAAAAAATAACTGTTGGAGATGGGATTTGAAAGTAGTTCTTTTGGATAATTGATACATTATACTCAAGCAGTAATAAGGATCAATGGATTGAATGCAAGGTTTTAAATATAGGATTCCAAACACGGACACTCTCTCTCAATTAGCACAGAACATTAGGAAAAATAAGAACATTAACATACACAAAAAATGCAGCATAATGCAATTGATCTCTTTGCAGATAATATACTAATTTTTTTTAAGAAACCTAAATGTTAATAGATCTTAGTTACGGTCAGAATTAAAGGAATTTCATACAATGGAAAGTTTAGAAGTTACTTCTGAAAAACACTCATAAAAAGAGACTCAAGAAGGATCCAAACTTTAGACTATAGAAAGCTCAAAATTAATTTCAAGAAATTAATTTTAGAAATAACTTACAAGACTGGGCTGTACTCCATCTGGAAAGTCTTCTATCAATCCCTCGGGAATTAATCTGCCATTGATTTCTTGGTATTTGAGACCATTAATGGAACATTCCCGAAACTGCATCACATTTTCTGTCAATGTGCCAGTTTTATCTGTAAATACATACTCCACCTACAGTAAGTTAAGAAGTTATATCAGTCAAATAAATTTAAGAGTTAAAAAAGGCAGCAAGTCTCCTTCAAATCCGCTAGTGTAGGGGTATCAAACTCAAGGCCTGGGGGCTGGAGCCAGCTCACGGGGCCGCTCTGGAAACAATGAAGGACCAGCCCATGGTGCCTCTGCCAGAGAAAACGGAGCTCAGGAGGGCTGCACGCTGCCCTCCCAACCTCCAATTTTGGTGGCAGAGGGTTGCAGGAGGCTGTTGCAGCTGAAAACGGAGCTTAGGAGCCGGTTTTCGCTGGCAGAGTGCTCGGGCCACTACAGGTAGCCTACAAGCGATATCGAGCTGGCCATGCCCACTTCGCCAAGGTCAAACACAACCCTGATGAGGCCCTCAATGTAATTTGAGTTTGACAGCCGTGCACTAGTGGGCCATTCATATGATCTGCAGATGCTGAATGCTACATTCAGTTCAGACTTGTGCATATTTATTGTGCTTATCTAAAATAGGTGTAATGTGTTTGTTTATACATACATGGAAAATAAGTATTAAATGATCTTTTCTAATAATTACACAATGTACCCTACAGGGTAGCAGTGCTCATTTACAATCTCAGATTGCAATGGTCCACTGCTGGACCACTTCCAAATTACAATTTTTAGGGAGATCAAAATTTTTTTTATAAAATACATAGGGAATATTAACTGTGTAAAAGAACAATTATGAATTTAATCACTTTTGATTAATTAAATCAAATCTAGTTCCTCTTGTTTCAAACACTATTTTGAATTATTTTATACCTGTCCCAGTTCTTCATTCAGGTCTGACGTATTTACTTGAGCTTTTTCATTTGTTTCTTCATGATAGAGATCAAGGTCCCAACCGATAAAAAAAGACCCAAGAAATTTCTGCATCTCCACAGTCACATAAAGCGAAATGGGTATAATGAAGTTGTAAAGTACCAGGAAAGCAAGAAAATCTGAAATGAACCTCAAGATCTAAAAGAAGAAAAGGAAACAGTATTATTAAACTAAAAAAAAATAAGACAGAAAGCATTTGAGGACAAGATTATAGCAGATACAATTATGTAGAACAGCGATATTGATATAGTCAGAGCATATTCTGTAATAGCCCAACTAAAGGTAGTCCTTGACTTACAACCATAATTGAGTCAAAAATTGTTCTGCTGGTCATTAAGTCACAATGGTTGTTAAACAAATCAAGTCATTATGCAAATGCCATGGTTGTTAAACTAGAAGTAAATGCTGGTTATGGCAAAGACCGTACATCGTGACCGTACAATCAAGACCGTACATCAAGACTGTACAATCGTGATACTACAAACTGTCATAAATGTGGGCTGGTTTGCCCAGGGCCCAAAATGCAATCATGTGATTATGGGGGAAGAGATGGCTAGCAAAATTTGAAATCCGGATCATACGTACTTTTGGGTCCGTTGTAACTTTGAAACGTGCTGAACGCTTGGTCGTAATTATGGTCGTAAACCATAATTTTGGTTTGGTAGTCCTTAGATGACATACAGGTAGTGTCATCTAAGGACTACCAAACCAAAATTATGTTTCTTCCAAAAGTAGTGACTTTTCTGTTTGTGATCAAATAAGTTTAACCCAGAACAGCGTTCTTATTTGTTATTTTTCTGTCTCATCCCTTTTCCACTGAGCTCAAATTACTACAGGTAGTCCTCGATTTACAGCTCATTTAGTGACCTTTCAAAGTTATAATGGCACTGAAAAAAGCGACTTATGACCGTTTTTCACACTTATGACCATAGTAGCATCCCCATGATCAAGTGATCAAAATTCAGACACTTGGCAACTGATGGTTGTGTAGTGTCCTGGGGTCATGTGATCACCTTTTGTAACCTTCTGACAAGCAAAGTCAATGGGGAAGCCAAATTCCTTTAACAACCATGTTACTAACTGTTAAGTGACACTTAACAACTGTGACAAGGAAGGTCGTAAAATGAGGCAAAACTCACTTAACAAATGTCTCACTTAGCAACAGAACTTTTGGGGTCAATGTGATCATAAGTCGAGGACTACCTGAATATAAAAACCATTCATTCCCTTGGCCTTTGTTGGCAAATGGTATTATAGCTGAAGGGAGACACAGAGGCCTTGATCATATAGTATCAGTCCAAGACTGGATTCAGATAACATATTAACTCTAATCTCAGTTTGACTTAATGTGACATGTGAAGGAATCTACTTTCTCTTCTAAGACTGCCGGTTACTATATAAGGTTGGGTTTTCTTTGCTGCATAGAAGTATTATTTCTTCTCCTTGCTTGGCATGAGAAAGTAAGAAACAACTTCTAAGCCTGTGAGGTTTTTTAACAACATTCCTTTAAGTAGATGAATAAGTTACAACAATCAATATATCAATAGGTACGATAATGGAGCAAGAAATTAACCGAAGCTAATTCTTGTTTCCCTTTAGTTATTTTTATTACTCAAATCGAAACTTTCACATCATGCTATCGAAACGGGGAAAAACACCTAAATCAGGCATATCATTTACATTTTACCTTACTGCTGTTTCTTTCATGATCAGTTTGCTGGTTATACCAAGGTTCATTCCACTTCTCTTCAGACTGCCAGGCATACTTCAGTATTGTACTTAAGACAGCTTCACAAAGGAGGATTATTAGATAGATAATCAAAAAAGAATTCATAGACCTGTTGGGCAAAAGTGAGAGCCAATTTAATACCTAAATGCCACTGAATTAAAAGTGTCCTATGGGGGGGGGGGGGGGGAGAGAGAAAATAGATGAGCATTGAAGACCAAGGGAGCTCTGGACAATTCAAAGATATTTGCACATTACTTAAAAAAAAACTACAGCAACAATAATTCTAACAACCTTTGTGTTTTATTCAGCTAACTTGAACTTTGTACATGGGGGAGGATGGAGATCCAAAAAGGAAATGTTTCGTAGAATCATATGGTTGGAGATGACATTAGAGGTCACCGAGTTCAGGGGTCTCCAACCTTGGCAACTTTAAGCCTGGAGGACTTCAACTCCCAGCAAAGCTGGCTGGGGAATTCTGGGAGTTGAAGTCCTCCGGGCTTAAAGTTGCCAAGGTTGGAGACCCCTGATCTAATTCAAACCCCTGCCCGGTGTAGGAGTCCTCCTACTATCCTGGACCAATGGTTGTCCAGTCTTTTCTTGAAAACCACCAGCTCTGCTTTTTCTGTCTAATCCCTTGGCTGCAAAAAGAAGAAAAAAAAGTTTTTCTCTATTAAAGGCAACAGATGAAAAATCACGAGAGGTTTCTTGCTTCAAGGCATGGTAGGACAAGATTTGGGGGAAAGATACAGGCTGGTTCATCAGAAGTGAAGCAAAGTAAAACACTCAAGGGCAAACCGATACGCAGAATGTATTCAGTATCGCCAGGGCTGTGCTTTTGTCACACGCTGATGACCTATCAGTATTTCTCAAAAAACAAAAACAAAAAAAAACACCACTATCAGAAGGGGGTTTAGTTTGACTACATCCCATTTCACATGATTTATTTCCCAGTTCTCTTGAAGAACCAAGTCCACATTCAATACGTTTGAATATTCCAAAAGGAAATATTAATTTCGCTAAACTAGAACATGCGAACATTTATTAGTCTAATAATAAATCCTTATCAAATGGTTCAAGCAACAGAGATGTTCAAAAAATGTTTTTAAAACATGTTCCTTTGTTTTTTAACGTTCCTTTGTTTTTTTTTAACTTAGTGTATTTTTTAAATTATTGTTTGTATTCTACCCTGCTAGTCTATGACCATAATAAATATCTGCACTGTTCCCTTGCGTCCTATGCTAACCCTTAATCTGAATTCCTCTTGTTTTACAGTTTAAATTAATACATTAATCTTTAATGGAGTAAAATACTGCCAACCACGTACTTCTCTACTGCTGATCGTTTCTGTGATTTGCTCTTATAATTCAATGCCATCTTTGTCTCCATTCCTGTATACACAGCAACACCTATAAAAAAAGGTAAAAGAATATTTATCATGGCAGCAAGACTGTGTAATACCTGAGGCTCGTTCTCTTCCCTTTCTTTTGAGGAGCCAGACACACATGGCTTCCTTCAATTTCTGGCTGGCCACTCAGTTGGGTTTCCAAATCCCCTCTATGATTGCAGTGAGAGTTTTTTTTAAAATTCACGCTGTGATTTTTTAAAAGTGGTTAGTTTTTTTTCCAGATTTTTAAATTGGAGATATTCTAATGAAGATATTCTAATGAAATCAAGTGGACCTAGGAGGCAACAGATAAAAACTTTTACAGATTACTTAAGTCTGGGTTCCTGGAACAGAGGGATTGAAAGCACTAATAGGACTTAAGAAAGTGAAAGACAGACATAGAATCTGGGTTCTCCTGGTTGCACCAGAATCAACTAGTTAGTCCTCCACTTAGGACCACAATTGAGCCCAAATTTTATGTTGCTAAGTGAGATATGTGTTAAGTGAGTTTTACCCCATTTTACAACTTTTCTTGCCACATTTGTTAAGTGAATCACTGCAGTTGTTAAGCAAGTCTGGCTTCCCCGTTGACCTTGCTTGTCAAAAGGTCGCAGCAGGGGATCATGTGACCCTGGGACACTGCAACCGTCATAAATATGAGTCAATTGCCAAGTGTCTAAATTTTGATCATGTGACCACAGGGATGCTTAAATGGTCGTAAGGGTGAAAAACGGTCATAAGTCACTTTTTTCAATACTTCGAACGGTCACTAAACGAACAGTTGCAAGTTGAAGACTACCTGTATTTCTTGGTGCAAGTTATTATACTCAACATGATACTCTTCCTCTTAATTAGGAAAAATGTCCTAACCCGGATGGTATGCCAGCGATAGTTACTCTAACAGGATGCTATGAAATTTCATCCATTCAAGAAATATTAACCAAGTTAGTGAAACTGTTATGTCACACACCAAAAATTTCTTTAGTGTTTTTCAACCTTGCTCCACGAAGTAGAAGACTTTCGGGCCCCAGTGGTCTGTAAAAGAAAGATCATTGTTTGTTCACATTGTTGGTTAAAGTGAGCCAGCCCCTCTTTCTCAGCCCTGGAAAAAAAGCAATGGCAAACCACTTCTGAAAATCTGGCTGAGAAAACTGCAGGGACTAGTCCAGGCAAATCATCAGGCATCAAAAACTGACTTGAAGGCACGCACGCACACATGCACACACATGCTGAGCAGGGCAGTTTGAAATAGCCATGCTGGTTCAGGAATTCTGGGAGTTGAAGTCCACAAGTCATAAAGGGGCCATAGTTCCTCATCTCTGCTCTAGCATAAAGAGTGAATAATTTTGTATTTGGGAATCAAAATAGTTCTGATCTAACTACCCCTCAATTCCCTAGAATGTAGCAATTTTATTGGGCCTATCCAATAGGCAACTCCCTAATAAGGAAAAGATAAATTCATAGGTGTCACTGACACCTAATTAATTTGCATGTATAGTCCGGAGACACCGAGAACAGCATGTCATGTAGACCATCTCATTTTATTTGTGAACTTCATGGGAGCATCACCTGGTCATAAGACACAACAGATGCTATACGAGTCCTTTCTTTCAGTCCAGTAAGGCAAGGGTTTTTTTTTTACATTCTGTTGTGCTACCTAAGAAGTATACAATGAAACTAAACAACCACAACCAAAGTTAAATATTTTACACGCAATTCAAAAATTCCTTTAGTGTTTCAGGACATTTGATATTGTTTGTTATTCATGCTGCTCAGCTACTGTTTACTTGGCTGTTTTTCTCCACAATGCCTTCTCCAAGGAGTTCTGGATTCATCTGAATGTGCCACTTAAAAACAACTCCCTCATCTCATAAGGAAACAGTACTTGAATTCCCCCTTACCGAGAAGATACTTGATTTATGAAACACTTTGTTGTTCTTGGTGATAATTTCAACTCCACCTGTTTCTCTTAAGGTTTCCTGCCATGATTAGAATCTCTGACCAGCAATAATTCTTACAATATTTATACAGGTGTTTACAAAGGGTCATGGGGGTCAGTGAGAAAAGATCCTGAATCAAATAAAATTGTCTGCCCTGCTGACCCAATGTTCAATTTTAAGACAAACCTATTGGGCACCATTTATCTATTGTGGCTTGAAATGTCTATGTAATTATTAGAAGAAAAGGCAAGTTTAACAGGTACATAGGGCCTGAACTGGTCTATACCAATCCAGAATGTACTGTTAGAAAGAAAACTAGTGTTTACTGTTATTTTGATATAACAACAACAATAACAACTAGCTTTATGAATTAGTCCAAACTGGTCAAACTATTAACTGGCAGACCACAGCATCACCCAAACCAGGAAAGAATAGCAGCTTGTAACCGTAAATTACAATACCTTGTAATAGCTTGTATTCCTCACAGTTTAAGCTATTTCCACTACAACATATTATTTATGCAGTAGTAGTTCTTTAAAAGCATTCTAGCAAAAAACAAAACAAAACAAAACCTAGATTAACAGAACAGGGCAACAAAAAATACAAGGGAACAGAAGGATCACAGAAGTAGTATAGGAACATCTGGTCAGTGTGCTTAATCTTCCCTGTGCCTGATGCGTACAAATGCATTTTATTTACAGAAGTTAAGATTGCCTGGATATAGAATTGGTCACAAATCACATTCATCGAGAGTGAAGGCATTTGGCTTACCGTACTATTTCCTCAATTTGATGACTTATGGTTATACGCCCAACAAATCTGCAAAACAATACGAATGTGTTATGATTCAAAAACAAATAAATAAATAAATGGAACTGTTAATTTTTCAATATGCCATTAAACCCTGACCATAACAGCGTAGGAAATGAGTTAAAGAAACTGACCTGGTTTGCATGTAAGGGTAAGCCCAATTCCTGGCATGCCATGATCAACAAAGCCAGGAATCTGAAGCCAAGAACAAACCAGGAAGCAACAATCAGAAATCCCAGTTCAGACATAGTGCTAAACAAACCACAGGTGGAGGCTTCCTGGTTAGCTTAATTCAAAGCCACATTCTTTAACTTTCTTCCATTTAAATACAACAGTTTAACATAGGAGTTTTTCTTATGTTTAGCTATAAAATAATACAGGCAGTCTCTCGATTGTGCCCAAAATTTCTATTGCTAAGCAAAACAGTTGTTAAGTGAGTTTTGCCCATTTTTACGACCTTTCTTGCCACAATTGTTAAGTGAATCACTGCAGTTGTTTAATTAGTATCACAGCTGTTAAATGAATTCGGCTTCCCCATTGACTTGGCTTGTCAAAAGGTCGCAAAAGGTGATCAACATGACCAAGGGACAATGCAATTGTCATAAATCTGAACATTCAAATTTCGATCATGTGATCATGGGAATGCTGCAGTGGTTGTAAGTTTGAAAAATGGTCCTAAGTCACTTTTTTCAGTGTGATTGTAACTTCAAGCAGTCACTAAGTAAAAGGCTGTAGGTTGAAGACTACCTGTAACAATTTTTCTATAGCAAGTCTGCATTGTCTTGGGAGACTTGTTGGCAGAACTCTCAAGTGTTAGGATGACAGAGAATCAAATGCTTCATCCTGTTTTTTTTAACTAGGAAGTGGGAAGTGAATGCTTGTATATTGGGAGAATTTTCCAAACTCAGAGAAGCTCCCAAATGAAATTAACAGAGCATTTCCGATAAGTCATGCCCTTGTTTTCTCTAAGGCACATAGGCACTTAAATTCATGACTCCATCACAAGAATTTCCAGAGCAGTTTCGGCCTAATTTTTAATAGCCATAACTTCCTTTTCCAAATTCCTTTAAAAAAAAAAAAGGACAGTAATAAAAAAACAGAAACCTGTAAAGATCTGCTTCTGGTTGCTGGCATTCAATAACAGCTACAAGTTTGTCCAGATTGGCAACTGACTGCAACACAGCAGTTTCTGGGACTGCAATATGTGTCTAAAAGAAAAAGGGGAAAAAAGCAATGATTTGAAAAGTCTTCATTAATGTATTCCACAGATCCCCAAAGACCCAAAACCCAGTTTTAAAAAAATCCCTTATGAGCTCTTAAAACTGTATTCCTAATTTGCCTGTAAATTGTCAGTATTATAGAAAATGCTGAGTAAAAACAAGCCACAATTTGGTAAACTGGTCATCTGTCAATAGGAAAATGATACATTTCTTCCATCTGGTGTTGTGTTCATAAATTTCAGTCCTGACAAAATGATGTGTGAGGGTTCTTTGTTCATCCTAATGAGTGCAAGACTCCCTCACATGAGGATCATCACTTGACAAATAGTAGGGGGGAAAAACCCAGATCATAAATTGGATGGAGCTCTGTATTCTTGTAGAATATATACTAAAAAGGGGGAAATAGTTGGAGTAATATCAAGATATACAAAAGCAAGTAAAAAAAGATTGTGGGTAGTATGTGGTCTGATACAAGAAACAAATAGTTGAAAGTAAATAACTAATGAGAAAGAAATATACTGAGGTGGGGATTTGGTCACCTAGAAAGAATTAATGAGCATTTAATGCCAAAACAAATAAAGGAAGGAAGCATGAATGGCTTTAACAGGAAAGGAAAAAAGAAAGCTCCTACTGCTGGTTATTTTGGGCTGGTATATAAACCTTTCAGATTCAAAATATCTTAAACAATAATGTCCCATTTTGAACTCAACATTTGTTTACTTAAATGAAACATTTAAATAGAAACATTTAAACAGAAACATTCATTTATTTAAATAGCTGTTTCAAGCTCAAATATTTTAAATTTGAAACATTTTGCATACCTTACTGTCTTGTTATACCAATTGACAAAATAAGACAAAAATTGGGCAAACAAGAGGAAAATAGCGTAGAAAACAGAAAGTATTCGTCCTTAAAGTGCTTTCTAGCATATCCGTATCCTTTTTGTTTACATTTGCTAGTCACTTCCTTTTAATCAGAATACATTACATTCCAATGAATCCCAAAGGTGCTTTTTCAGGAGGCAACTGGACTTCCTTGTTTTTTCTTTTGAAGATGTTCAGGAGGCACCTTTGAAAAAGGTGAAAGGTGAAAAAGCACCTTTGGGACAATCATGACCTGGATGACTGAGAATCTCTACAGAATTCCAATGAATCATATTAACTGTGCCTAAGAAACTTACTCTAATACTTTTCCTTAAATTCATAACAATGAATACAGCCATAACAACATGGCCTTTGGCTATAAAAAAACCCAACCCTAAAGCTTTGATATGAACCCAACACAATTCAAAAAAAATGTAACACTCTTTTCTACATAAATGTAATAAAATACCCTAGCCACAATTTCAAAAAAAATAATCCATTTGAACAATATGAACGCAGACCTTAAGATTAGTTTCTCCATCCAAACTTGCAGTCGTAACATAGCAACAGCCATGTTCTCTATCAGAGGACAGAAGTACAAGATCAGCAGGGAAAGTTTCATCTTTGGCTACTCTCACAATATCTCCTACCTGGGGAGACAGAAGAAGGCATGGGAAAAACTGGTTTGCAAAATTACTGGATTAAAACAGTCCAACGAAACATTATTCGGTCTAATTAAATTCTTCGTAAAACTGAATACATAGCCATGACTGTTTTGTTTCAACCCCACAATTACAGAAGACAGACCCTTGTTTTACAGTGAGTAAGACACATACCCGGATGTTCTTTGATCTTGTTTTTACAAGGCCACCACTACGAACAACATACACTGGAGCTCCATTCACTTCATTGTCTGCTTTGTGCCGTAGCCAATCTTCATAACCCTGAAAAGATCAAAGGAAGTCACTAATATATCTTGCCTGCTACTTGGCTGCCATCTCAAATTTTATCAGAGGATCAAACTAGGGCCTAAAAAAATGGAATCCATATGGCTCATTTTTCCTAACTGCTTGCCCTTTGGACAAGCTCTGGACTACAGTCTCAACATTCCTTAATGGCCCATACTGATTGAAACTACAACTCTTACCAGCTCCAAAAACTCAGAGGGAGAAGGTTGGGGGAGATGGAGCCAAGCCGAAGCAGACAATCAGCTTTTAACATGATAGTCATGCCACTTTGAGTGAGTGAGGGAAATGACAACCTATATGTCTATTTTGAAAACATATATAGTAGGAGTGATAAATTCAAGCATGTGTGTTAAAGGCAACTGTGCTGTCTGATGGGTTATGTTACAGAGAGGTTTTCAAAATAGATAAAGGTTGCCTGAGAATACTTGCATGCATATCTCAAGAAAAGTCATGAGAAATGAGGAAAAGAATGCAATTGCATGGTCATTCCTACTCAGATGAGAGTTGGGAGGCATATACATTTAATAAAGCATGATTGGTTGCATAGTCAGCCAGATGTTTAGACTGAATATGGCATTTTTGTTCACCTATTAAGTCTTTCCCAATGACCTGAGACAGGTAGATGTTGTCTGATGATATTAAAGGTATTGTTATAGGATATAAGCTGTTCCAAGTAAAGTTGCCTTTTGCAATTGACTGAGTGATTTTTGTCAATGTTGATGATGTTCAAGCGATGCTCCACATATTTTGGAATTGTACCCAGGGCGCATATTACCATTGGTACTATTTTATTATTTTTCTCCAGTTCTTTCTCTTTTCTTCTGCTGCTTTCAGGCCTTGTAACATTTACTCGCCAGACTTTATTATCTTTCTCATCAACAATTGTTAAGACTGGGGAATTGTATGGCAGATGCTTAAGTCCCAGAGCACTTTAGCTTCTTCATTTTTGATTATTTTGTCTATTTTGTGGTCCCACCCGTTCTTGCTAGTGGGTTAAATAATAGAAAATGAAGAACTAAAGAGCTTTGAGCCTTTAGAATGCAAACAGATAAATGTCTGCCACTCAACATATAAATTATGGTTGGTCAGACAGTCAGCCAGATGTTTAGACTGGATTTAGCATTTTTGTCTACTTATCGGTCCTTCCCAAGGTCATGTTTGTAGAATGTTATGTTTATATAGGACATAGTCTTGACAAAAAAAAACAAAACAGAATTTCATCAGCTATAAAGAATGAGAGGTAAAACTGAATGCTGGCTGAAGATAACTTCATTTAAAGCAGACAGTGGGGGTTATGTAGTAAATAAGAACCAGCCTGTGCTGCTTCAATGTATTATGCAGACTAGTTTTGAATTGTTGAAATGTTCTTTAAATAAATAAGTGAATAAATCTGTTCTATCCACAGGTATTATGGAAGCACTGGGGGAAAATCAGGACCCATAAACTTCCAGGAGCCAGAATACTGTGAGGAATCTATAGAAACAATTGAATAATGCAACATATCTCAGTATGTAAATCAATTTTTAGAAGACTCCTTTGCAAAACCTCATTCCTTTAAGACAGCAGGAAAAAGGGTATTCATAATACAAACTGAGATACCAACCTCCACAACTATTGTGTGTCATTACTATCCACTGAAGGCTTTGATTGTGGATCATGAAAACATATAAAAGCAATCCCAGGCAAAAACATGTTTTGTGTTTTGACTCCTAACACCAAAATGTATTTTCTCATTTCAATTGATACTGTTACATTTCAATGCAAGGAAAATGGAATAGCAATGATTTAAGGTACAAGGTATCTTTAGGGACAAAATAATTTAAGTTACCTCCTTCATATCACAGTTGGACGAAAAAGATGAAAGGTTCCACCCAGTATCCATATGATTCTTAACTCATTAATATATAAATATTCATGTTTAAAATGCAGAATGGTAGCATTAGACATTGTTCTGTACAAGAAGATCCCACTAAAACACATTCTCACATCTAGGTCCCTTTTTCTGTACAATATTTCAGACTGCATATTTAATGTTTTGGAACCATGCCTTGCCTTCGCTGGCTTGGCTTTTGAAGAAATACACCATGTGCTGATATCGCTAAACACATTAGCACATTGTGAGCTAACACTGATGGCCCACTTTTAATTGCAGTTCTGTATTGAACATAATGTGTATGTCTGTGCTAAGCAACTTACAAAAAAAAAAGAGGCGCATTTTCTTACCTGCTTTATGGCTGTCACAGTTATAACAAAAAACAATGGCAATCCACTAGTAATTGGACTAGTAGGAGTATCTATCATAAGCTGGAAGAGAAAACAGACAGAAAGAATATGCATATGAGTCAAATTTTGGAAAGTCTATGTTTACATTTGTATGTTATCTTCAGAAAACTGTAAATAGTGTTTGTGGTTGCTACTGTAACACTGCACCCGGTAATATTTTATTACTCTTTGGAAATGGCTTGCAGCTTCCAAAAATTACCAAAGCCAATCAAATGTTAGTGGATAGACTTTTGATGTTATTTATTTATCTTGTATGGTGTAACAGCATTAACCATTTATTTTTGGTACTCAGGTTGTTTCTTCTTGCTGGGAGATCCTTGTGAGGTTCAGCAACCAGAATGTGTACTGGCTGCCTTGTGATGTGACGAGGCCTGTTGCTGATTGCACAGAGGGAGTCCTCAACTTATGACTATACCTGAGCTTGGAATTATGGCTGTAAATCATGCGGTTCATTAAGTGGGTCATCACCACATGACTGTGCCCAATGTTATCATTTTTTAAACAGTTGTTAAGTGAACCCATCTTAGCTGGAAATTGGATTATCTGGCAATAGATATAAATCACGATCATGTGACACTGCAAACCATCCTAATTGAGGGCTGGTTGCCAAGCACCCAAAATGCATTCACATGACCTGTGTGTGTGTGTGTGTGTGTGTGTCCAATGGAATTTTGAAACTGGTCGTAAGTACCTTTTTGGGAGGCCTGTTATAACTTCAACAGTTGCTAAGAGACCAGTCATAAATCAAGGACTACCTATAAAGGACTTTAATGGCATTTGGAAAGCAGCCAGATTCTCACTGATTTTAAAATGGCCCAAAACTGAAAATGAACTTGGCAAAAATTTCCCTTCTATACTTGCCAGATTAAAAGATGTTTGTGGGCAATCACACCGATGTGTTGTCAATAATTTAAAATACAGACTGCGCTAAGAATTGTTGCGGGATAGCATGTGGTGGAAGTTTAGCTGCAAGATCTTGGTTAAACACGCAGTGTGAACACAGCATTCCATTTGAAGTAGAAATGGAAGAAGACTGTGTGCACTGTGACAAAACATGGACCTCTTGCATATGGACCAATCCTAAGGGGGGGACGGGATGTATTCTATTAAGACAGCAGCTCTAAAGCCCAGTCTCGCCAATCAATCAATCAATCAATCAATCAGTCAATTAATCAAATTTATATGGCAGTCTATCTTACAGAAAATGATTCTGGGTGGTATCCAATAGTCCAACAAAAGAGTAGAAGTATAAAACAATAATGACCTCAAATCATTATAATAATTTAAAAATTATTTTAAAAAAACCATAGAGAGAAAACTAAAACAGAAAAAGAAAATAAGGGATTGTCAATAGTAACAGAGCCACCTCACGAGTTCACCCGTTCCTTGGGGTCCCAAGGGCTGCTGACATAATCAGGTCTTGAGGGACCTTTGAAAGCTCAGAAGTGATGAGGTTTTCCTTCTCAGTATAAACAGGATAGGGATTTTGAAGGGGACGCATGCATTGTATTTCAAGCGTGAGCAATCTTAAGATGCTGAGATGTGGCAGAATTGTGATCAGAAAAAATCAGAATTGGGTAGGCAATGTCATTTCCTGTGACATTCTATGGAAGCGGAAGTTTGAACACTGATGTTGGAAAAATCTTTTGAGAGTACCATGTATAACCAAGGAAACAAAATAGATCATCAAACAAATCAACCTAGAGTTCTCACTCAAGGCGCAACTGATCAGGCTCAAATGATCAGACTCTGAACACATTTCGTGAAAGACCTAGCTCACTAAAGAAGACTACAAAAGGTAGAAGGAAAGAGAGGAAGAGGAATACTGAAATGGATGGATTCAGTTACAGTGGCAACAGGCGATCCGTTGGAAGACCTAAAAGACCAAGTTAGGGATAGTTTGTCATGGAGAACATTTGTCCATGTGGTTGCTAAGAAATGGCATTGACCTAATGGCACATAATCAAACAATGCTGTGAACTGTATAAGCTAATCCACGGGATATGAATACTGGTGACACAGTAAAGAAACGCTATTTGTTAACAGAAAGAGGAATTATGACAGAAAGCATAGCAAATTGTGTTGGAAACAAGAGGAATACTTTAAGTTGTTAAAGGGCAACAGATCTTGGTTTTGGTCACCACACTATAAAAAAGTTGTTGTAACTCTAGAAAAAGTGCAGAAAAGAGCAACCAAGATGATTAGAGGATTGGAGACTAGAGCATATGAAGAACGGTTACAGGAACTGAGCATGGTTAGTCTAGTGAAGAGAAGGACCAGGGGAGACATGATAGCAGTCTTCCAATATCTGAGGGGCTGCCAGAGAGGAAGGGGTCAAGCTATTTGCTAAAGCCCCTGTAGGCCAGACAAGGAATAACGGATGGAAACTGAACAAGGAGAGATTTAACCTGGAAATAAGGAGAAATTTTCTGACAGCGAGAACAATCAACCAGTGGAACAGCTTTGCCTTCGGAAGTTGTGGGAGCTTCATCACTTGAGACTTTTAAGAAGAGATTGGACTTCCATTTGTCAGAAATGGTGTAGGGTCTCCTGCTTGGGGGGGGGGTTGGACTATATGACCTACAAGATCCTTTCCAACTCTGTTAATCTGTATCTGTATCTTCATTTTTGAATAAGGTAATCTATTCATTATCCTTTGAAAGTTGGGTTATTTATGAAATATTGACTATGAAGGCTTGCACAGCCATTAGTAGGTTGTTCTTTGTTTCTTAAATATTTGAGAAATGCTTCTATTCTAAAAACAATACAAATAATTCCACTCTGATTTCATTGAAGGAAAAGAGAGGTATAGTGAAATATAGAAATTCTAAACCATTTCATGAGTAAATGTCTTGTATGACCATTCTATCACTATTTATGGTTTACTTATTCATCTAGCAAATGTTGCAAATTAAGCTGCTTTTCTGAATTTATTTCATAGCAGAAATGTAAAGAGTTCAAATATAGGTCAGCCAAAATAGTGATGAAGCTGAATGTAAAGAAAAAAACCAAGCTAAAACACATACAAGCCTTACTGATTAATTGAGCTTGGTACTTAACTGTTAACATTTAAACACTGCTTAAACCATAGAACTTTTTTTTGCTAAATTCTTTCCATTGAAGTTTTTAGACAAAAGAAACTTTAGCACAACTTGTAAAATACATAAGTGCAAATAGAGAAGAAAAACTAAACAAAAACGAGTAACAACTATTTTCTGATTACATCATTGCATGTACGGGAACACTGAATAATGAAAGGGGAAAAAAGCATGTTTTACATGCAATAGGTGAGAGTCAGGTGATTTTTAACAGTTTTATTGCAACAGCCACAACATGGATTTCATTGCAACTTAGGCCTGAGGCAACATTTGCAAAATATATAAAATGTAATACATAAATGGAACTAAATACTAGTGGTTTATGCAATACAGTACACAGGATATACAGGATACACAAAACACATCTGAAGAATACATTGTTCAGTCCATTCCTCAGAACAAGATTTTGTATCACATTTAGGAGGAGTTAAGAACTGCAATCTTGTCACATGCAGAGAGATTTAAGACAGATTTTCCAATGAATATCATAATTTCATATTTCTAGGGGGATTTTTTGAGAGCCTGTTCTTTTGACAGGGTATAAATAAATCTCTCTTCCATCCTGTTAGCTTTGGATGACAATCAAGTCCATGGGTCAATCCTATGTGTCCCACCTGCTGTTACAATACTATTGATTATGTGCCATTAAATTATATAATCTTGTGATGGAATTGACAGCAAAAATCAATATAATCTCAATAATACAAGCTCCAAGTGATAGCTAAATTTCAGATTATAGTACTGACAAGGTTCCAGGTAGGATGGAGGCAGCAAATGATCACCCATCTGACCAGTTAATAAATAGAAATATAACTCTGATGCTTAAATTCCTCCAGGAATTCACTTTCAGAGATTAAATTCCAAATTAGGAAAGGTCATTACTGGTGACTTTAGCTCATGATTTTGACAATATTGCTAATTCATATCACTATGCATTTGTTTTGCAAAATTGAAGCCAACTAATGTTTTCTCCCTATCTTTCCTTAATTTGTAATTGTATGTGGGAAGAATAATCAGATGAAATGCCAATTTACGGGAAACCAGTTTTCAAAATATATTATGTATAATAGCTAAACTACATCAACATTTTTAACATCTCTCCTTTAGAGTGAAGAAAACATGTTAGTCACTAGGAATAAACCTTATGAAGCAGATCAGCTAATGTCTTATGAAACCACAGAAAAACATGGATGAACATGTCTAGATAATGGCAGTGCGGCATGTCACTAGATATAAATGAATTCTATCTCTTGAGAATAAGCCACTATTTGTTTCAAAAGTCAGAAAAATCAAGCTTTGTGCTCAGTTATATTCAACATGATTTTTTTTCAAATCCCTCATTTCAATTGCACATGTTTAAGTAGTGTTAAATTATCTAACTTACCTGAACCAAAAATATTATAAGAAAATAAAAATTGGCTATTCTTCTGAACTGTTCAAATAAATTTTTGGGCACAAAATTCCACACAGTATACTGCAAGAGAAAAAAAAATTGCATTTAAAAACTGCTGAAGTAATTCATTTCAAATTCAATCATTTTTTAAAGAACCGGATATTCTGCATTTAATATTCTACAAATGTTAACAAAGCCTCTTTTCGAACATTCATATCAGCCAATTAAGTTCCATGTTTACCTTTATGTGTTAAATTTGCAACACAATACTGAAATTCATTTAAAAAAGTGAATTAACTGACATCTGATATTGGGTTTCCTACAATGTAGGAGAAGTTGTATTCATTTTGATTTTAATATAGGTTATCCCCAACTTACAACCACAATTGAGTCCAAAATTGCTAAGCAGGACAGTTGTTAAGAGAGCCATTTTAGCCACGGTTGTTAAGTAAATCACTACAGTTAAGTGAATCATGCAGTCATTATGCGAACCTGGCTTCCCTCATTGATTTTGCTGGTCCGACACTCCCTAGGAAGGTTGCAAATGACAATCCCAGAACCCCAGAATGCTGCATCCACTGTAAATAGATGCTGGTTGCAAAGCACCCAAAGTTTGATTGCATGACTGTGGGGATGCCGTAACAGTCATAAGTGGTTATAAGTCACTTTTTAAAAGTTTTTTTTTATAACTTTGAATAGTCATTTTAGAACGTTTTTTTAGTTAAGCAAGCTTCTGAAGTATGATGCATCACAAAAACGAATTTCATAATGATATATAAACGAACTAGTTTAACAGTAGGGCTCATAAAATGCCCTAATCCTATTCAGATACGCATCTGAGAGTTGCTTTTTAAAAAAATGCTGATATATCTCGCTAAAATTTATCTTGAACTATTGCACTTTATAAAGCATGTGTATAGGTGTTAAAATTTCCCATACCTTAGAGGAGATTATTCTGTTTTCTGCAAACTTCTGAGGAACATAATGGCCATGCTGGGGAAAACGATTTGCAATATAAATAGTTCGGTTATCACTCTGATGTGGTGGGTCAAAACCCTGAAAAAAAAAAGCCAAGAACATTATATTATTGATAGCTGGATCTCAATATTTATAATACATTTTAAATCTTCTTGATATTCTCACAATAATTCTGAAAAATAAAATGTCTCCTTATTTTGAATGCATGTTCTTGGTGAAATAGATGAAAAACAAACAGCTAAAAAGAAACAAAAAGTAGTTATTTATTTGTATCTTGCCTTTATTATTTTTAGAAATAACTTAAGGTGATGATCATATCCAACACACTTTCCCCCTCCTATTTTCCCCATAACACCAGCCCTGTGAGGTGGGTTGAGCTGAGAGAATAACTGGCCCAAAGTCACCTAACCAGCTTTCATGGATAAGGACTTGAACTCACTGTCTCTTACTTTCTAGCCTCGTGCTTTTAACCACTAGACCAAACTGACTATCCATCCATCCATCTCACCCAGCAGGGCCATCCATTGCAGTTGGAAATTATGCCCTCAGTCAAACTGCCTACTAGATTCTTGGGAAAACAAAGGCTACCACTGAGAGCATTCGTCACCTGGGGTTGACTGATCAAATCCATGCAAGGGAAAGCAGAGGCACCACCAGCATATTGAAAAGCAACCATAAAATGTTCTGACTTGGACTGAGGTTAATGTCCTCAACCTCCTATTATGTTGCAAATGCCCTGAGATAAAAACCAGTGTGTGATAACCTCCTGAGCCACCCCAGTCTATGCCACATAAAGGACAAATTAAAATCTCCCAGAGCTGCTGTATGGTAAGACCCCCACTGCAATTGAGACATGTAACCCCGTTAGGGATATCGCTGTACAGCAGGAAAACTGGTATAGCAGCTAAAAATACAAATGGTCTCAAGAGCCCAACTTCACCGTAAACAACCCAACATCTGCAATGCAGAACGTCAGTCTTACATCTGCCCTAAAACTGTGATAATTGGTGACAAACTAAATATCTAGTAAATAAACGTCAAGTTGGGATTTTGTAAATGACTACAGACTACACTGGAGCTTGGATGAAAACTTTACACAGCACTTTATTATATCCTCACACACACCCGCCCCCCAATGTGAAGTTATTGCCTTGGCTGAGCAGGGTTAACTTTTTCCTCCTGGTCCTTAGGACTTGGCTTAGCCACATAAGCAAGCCTTTGGAGATCAATCCTTACTGTTCTTGAAGTGTCAGATAGTCCTCGTCTCTCCATCCAAAAATTCTTGCACTCATTGGATATGCTGCCTCAGCGTGGCTACACCTTTTGTAAATACAGTCGCATAGCAAAGTCGCTGCCAAGTTCTTGGCTAGGTTTCAAGCTCTGTTCTAAGAAATGTTGCTGTTGAGCATCCAAGTTGAGCTCCAGGCAGAGATCAAGCAGGGTTGACTGCTTTCCGTGGCCGTGGTCCTCCTGGCAGTTGGATAGCAACAGCCCTGTTTATAACCTGTAACTGTTGCCCAGATGTCACTTCCCATTTCCTCATCTATGTGATGCATCTTCCTCTTTTTTCGCTTGTCACATACTCTATGGGTAGATTTCCTTTTTCTGGGCTGAGGGCCCGAGTAGAGTAAGGTGGGCTAACCTGGCTACCTATGGACATCAGCAGTTCTTTGAAAAGGTCAGTGTGTCACTCAATTAGCCAGCTGTGGAGGCTGTTGTGCCAGTCAAACAGCTTGGTGTGGCCAACGGACTAGCTGAAATACCATTGTGGGAGTCCGTAGGGGAACATCTTTGCTGGTCAGTCTGCCTCAATAAGCAGGCTGGTGGGGAGGGGTAGATTAAGTGCTTCTTCCTTGGGTTTCCCATTATGAGGACCAGACCCTCATAACTCTTTTGATATGGGCAGGAGGGATGAGCTGAATCTAGCCTTGGAATGTGGTGCCTGTTTCTACCTGCCAGGGTTACTCCCATCAATATTTTCCAAGGTGCAGCTACACTCCTTTTTTCCTCATAGTGCATCTCAGAGATAGGAACACTCACATGTGAGGTCATCCAGATCTCGGATGAGGGGAGCCTTGCTACAGGACCTCTTGGCATTAAATAGCCGGGGATACTTGGTGGAAGATAAGGTATGTTGTCATTAGGTGAAATTAGTTCCTGGCAAACAGCTCATCTTGAAAAAAAACTGCTGGCTTCCCCTCAAAGCTCATGAAAGGTAGGAACCATGGGAAATGGTGCAGGTGGTGGTGTGATAAAAGGGAAGCTAAATGGAAGAAGGAAAATACTTGTGTAAGATTGAAATTAACAGGTGGAGTGATAGTATGTCTAATGCAGAGTACATAAAAGGAACTAAAAACAGGACTTTCAGATCTCTTGCTCAAACCTGACGCTTCTGAGAAAATACCACCAAGCTGCTAACACCATAGAACTTTCCGGTCCTGTGTTTTTCAAAACAACTTTTAGTATCTGAGGAATAAGGAAGGAGGTAGAAGAAAACCATCCAAAAAGGTGATCTCTCTTCCTCTTGCTTGTTTTTGTCAACATATTGTACATAAGTACCAAACTATTCTTTCTCCTTGCAGTGCACAGAAAAGAAGAAATTGTGACCAACTGGCTCGGAATCTTCTATTGCTAGGACCCCCAATTATATGGACAGGGTTGCCAACATGACTGTAAATATCTCCCTTGGTGTTTCCCAAGCTGAATCTACAAAAATAGATAAGATGGGGAACTGTCATCTAGTGACAATTTAAAGACCAAAGTGAAGTTCAAGAATGGTTCTTTACACCAAACAGCTCTTAAACTCTTTCCTAAAAAATAAAAATAATTGTAGTGATTGTAGGGTGACAAGTAGGGGGTGGTGGGTAGCATTAAGATAAATCTGTATGGTACTTTATAATGTTTTTATTTCTTTATAAGTAAACTTCTATGGCTCCCTCTCCCTACCATAACCTGAGCTGTTCCCAAAATAATGAAAAAATATAAAACCATAGCAACTTCCAGTGCCCCAAAGGTAATAGGCTACCACAAAAATAGCATTCCACTTTATAGATTCACTTTAGCCCAGCACTTAGGCTTTATACTGGGTTAACAACCAAAACTTAAAAGATGCTGACTGCAATCCAAGTTCTCCTTTTCCTCAAGTTCTCCAATGGAAGAATTGGATTTGGCAGAGAAATACACCCCAAACAGCCAAAAAATAAAGAAAGTCATATTTTCACTATGCTTCAAGATCTCATGATTTCCAACTTTCTTACAACATAGAGCCAAATATCAAAATAACTTCACTCATCTGACCAAGAGCTCACTGCTTGTGCAGCCTTGTGCAACGTAATTCTCATACAGAGTTCTGCCCATATTATTTTACAGAACTTTTCCAATGAATAACTCTTGATTGTTTCACCAGCAATAGTTCTAGTCCTAAAGAACATCAATGCAGGCTGAAGCACATTTCTCCCCTCTCCAGCAAATGTACTTGCTTAGCAACAGAATCAGTAGATACTGCCACCAACCCCCAAAAGTCTGCTGCCTGCCCCTACATTTGCACAAAGCTAAAAGTAATATTTAAGGTAGGGATTTATAGGCAGTAATACTAAGGAAACGGCTTTTTCCCCATCAGAGTGAAAGTGGAAAGTAGCAGTGAAAATCTAGCTGAAGTGAAAGTGGGAAGAAGTGCCAGAGAAGGATCAAATTTTCCTCTTTCCAAACCCTGCATATTTTTCCAATGTGATACTTTCTGCAGAATTAAGCACTCACTGTCTTCTGTATAATCTGATCCAATTACATCTAATTTACAATTAGAGAAGACTTTTTCAATGGGGTAAAAGCCAAGAATACACAGACATTGATAAAATCAGAAGTCTGCACTGACGCCATTGAGTCCAACCTTCCCCTAAGTGCTGCAATCCAAATTAACACATTAATTACAAATGAGCTTTTAATTCATTTGTAATTAATGGTAATGTAATTGTTACATGGTGAACTGAAACAAGTTAAAGTTTCCTTAGATTTATACGATTAGGTACAGAGTATTTTGGATCCAAGTGCTGAATAGCACAGACTGCAATAACTTCTCTAAACTTGCTGTAACTGAGTAACACCAAGAGCCTTGGTGGCGCAGCAGACTAAAGTGCTATTAAGTAGCACCAGCTGCCTGCAATTACTGCAAGTTCAAATCTCACCAGGCTCAAGGTTGACTCAGCCTTCCATCCTTTCGAGGTAGGTAAAATGAGGACCAATAAGGGGGGCAATAAGATGACTTTGTATAAAAAAGAACACCGCTGGGGGGGGCCAAAAACCCTACTAAGCAGGTATATACAAAAGTATGAAGGCTATTGCTTAACGCATTGTAAGCTGCCCTGAGTCTCCGGAGAAGGGCGGCATATAAATTGAACCAACCAACCAACCAACCAACCAACCAACCAACCAATAAATAAAGAATGAATGAATGAATGAATGAATGAATGAATGAATGAATGAATGAATTGAACACATAATGAGGCACAAATGGCTATTATCCTACTTTAGACACATTATGCAAAGACCCAGCTCTTTGGAAAAGGTTCTGATGCTCGGAAAGACGGATGAAAAGAGAAGACTACAACCAGGAGCAAGGTGGATGGATTCAATTACAATCAGTGCATTATTGGGAGATTTGGAAAAAAACAACAACCCAAGTTTAGGGATACAGATAGTCCTCAATTTACAGCCACAATGAAGAACAGAATTTTGGGGCTAAGCAAGGTGGTTAATTGAGCTACACCTAATTTTATGACCATTGGCCACAGTCATTAAGTAAATCACTGCAGTTATTAAGCAAATCATGTGATTGTTAAAGGAATCTGACTTTGTCTTTGCTTGTCAGAAGCTGGTTGGGAAGATCACAAATAATGATCACATGACATGCAACTGTTGCAAAGTGCCTGAATTTTGATCGTGTGAGCATGGGGATGCTGTGATGGTTGTTAAGTGTGAGGACAGTTCATAAATCACTTTTTTCAGCACTGTTGTAACAGTTGCTAAATGAATGGCTGTAAATCAAGGACTATTTGTAGATTATTCTAGAGATAATCTATCTA